TTATTTTTTGTTATTCCGTGCCCCCTTTGAACAGCTTTTTGGGGACCTTAACATACCCCAAAACTCACAATATTTTGCACACTTGTCAGGCCTGGTGAAAAATTTGATATTTTAAAGGTCCCAAAAAAATCGCAAAGAAAATGGCTGAACAGCGCCCCCTACAAAGTGAAAAAAAACCCTCTCCATAAAGCTTAGTTTATCGTACAGTTATGAAATTTGGTACACTTGTAGTACTCAACAGTCCGCACAGAAAAGTCTCTTGCAACCATGGTCAATATCAAACAGGAAGTCGGCCATTTTGGGTTGAAATGGCGATTTTTTGCCGTTTTTGCCGTTTTTAGGGTCCGTTTCTGATTGGATTGCTCGATCATTTTTCGCACGATCGTCTCAAAAATTGTGTAAAATTGCTCAGAAGGGATGGGCGAACAAAATGAGATAAGGATTCTGAGTTTTCGTATATGTTGAAGGGGCGGAGCCAGGCCTCGAAGTTTGACTACTCGCCAAAAATATTTAAATTGCTATAACTTCATAACTGAATGGAATAGAGTTACCAAACTTTCTGTGGTCATTCGTCATCCACCCCCAAAGTAAATTGAATGGTCGGATGATGACATCACACAAGCCCCGCCCCCTCAGGACCAAAAAGATCAAGTTTTACTGTGAAAGGTCCCAAATTGCCCCATTTCACTTAATCACCACAAATTTGTAGCTGGTAACTCAAGACAAGTGGGGGTTGCTTGGCGTCACTTTATGGGAGTTTTCGGCAGAGGGCGGGGCTGTGGCGGCGCGGCGAATTCAGGCGTACCGCCTTGGCCTTACGTTTGCCTCCCATTTCGTCATTTCCAAAGATATCGTCACGAAACTTCTTGTGAGTGATCCTAGTCCGGCCCCCCAAAAGATCTGATGTGAACATCTGGTGGGCGTGGCCTATTTTCTGAAATAGCGCCCCCTAGGACCATTAAAACTGTCAGCCCCAAGCCATGCTTTGACTGAGGATTACGAAATTTGGTACACTAATGTGGTGTCTCAGGACCTACAAAAAAGTCTCTTGGAGCCAAGTGCAAAGTCGCACAGGAAGTCGGCCATTTTGGTCCAAGTGCGCGATTTAGTGGTTTTCACACACGTTGTTTGGAGAGTGATACTCCGTCGCCCTTTTCACCAATCACTTTCAAACTTCTGCTATATAGTCTTAAGACATAGAGGAAAAAATTCAACCGTCGGATTTTAAATAAGTATAAAGGTGTGGGCGTGGCTAAGCCTCAAACTTTGACCTTTCGCCACGCCACTCTTTTTTTCACAGCTCCTTATTGGACTCCTTTTACCCAATCACCAGGAATCTCTGGTAAATAGCAGCAGGCAAGTTGAGGTCACTTGGTCTCCAGTACTGGAAGGTTTTGAAAAAAGGCGGGGCTTTGGGAGCATGGCGAAATTCGCCATCACGCCATGGAAATACGTTTGCCTCTCATTTCTTCATTTATCGTGATATCACCTCGACCATTGTTGTGAGTTATCCTAGTCTGACCCCCAATAGAAAAGGTCAGCTTAAGTTTGTGGGCGTGGCCTATTTTCTGTATTAGCGCCCCCTAGGACCATTAAAACTGTCAGCCCCAAGCCATGCTTTGACTGAGGATTACGAAATTTGGTACACTAATGTGGTGTCTCAGGACCTACAAAAAAGTCTCTTGGAGCCAAGTGCAAAGTCGCACAGGAAGTCGGCCATTTTGGTCCAAGTGCGCGATTTAGTGGTTTTCACACACGTTGTTTGGAGAGTGATGCTCCGTCGCCCTTTTCACCAATCGCCTTCGAGCTTCTGCTATATACTCTTAAGACATAGAGGAAAAAATTCAACCGTCGGATTTTAAATAAGTATAAAGGTGTGGGCGTGGCTAAGCCTCAAACTTTGACCTTTCGCCACGCCACTCTTTTTTTCACAGCTCCCTATTGGACTCCTTTTACCCAATCACCTGGAATCTCTGGTAAATAGCAGCTGACACGTTGAGGTCACTTGGTCTCCAGTACTGGAAGGTTATGAAAAAATGCGGGGCTTTGGGAGCATGGCGAAATTCGCCATCACGCCATGGAAATACGTTTGCCTCTCATTTCTTCATTTATCGTGATATCACCTCGAAATTTGTTGCGAGTGATCCTAGTCTGACCCCCAATAGACATGGTCAGCTTAAGTTTGTGGGCGTGGCCTATTTTCTGAATTAGCGCCCCCTAGGACCATTAAAACTGTCAGCCCCAAGCCATGCTTTGACTGAGGATTACGAAATTTGGTACACCAATGTGGTGTCTCAGGACCTACAAAAAAGTCTCTTGGAGCCAAGTGCAAAGTCGCACAGGAAGTCGGCCATTTTGGTCCAAGTACTCGATTTAGTGGTTTTCGCACACGTTGTTTGGAGAGTGATGCTCCGTCGACCTTTTCACCAATCGCCTTGTAACTTCTGCTAGATACTCTTAAGATATAGTGGAAAAAATTCAACCGTCGGATTTTAAATAAGTATAAAGGTGTGGGCGTGGCTAAGCCTCAAACTTTGACCTTTCGCCATTACATTACTTGACTTAATAACTCCCATGTGCACGATCAGATCTATATCAAACTTTGTCTGTGTGATCACTGACCACATCTTAAGGCAACGTCATTATGGACAGCTGACATCACCTAAGCCCCGCCCCCTGACAACAGGAAGTCTATTGTTTTATGGTGAAATGCCCATATTTGTCCCCTCTAATTTAGTCAACATGACACTGAGGTCATGCACTGTCTTCATGATGTTGTAATGACCATTCAGATCTGATAGCTTTCCAGATAGGGAGGGGCTTTGATGCCATGGTGAATTCTGGCATGACGTCGTGACCTTACAATTCAATTTAATGGTGAGCTCAGAGGGGATGCTGAGTCAGGGTGAGGTGCGGACTAGGAGGCCATTTGCGGTTTCTGGTGTCGGGGTGGGTGACGTTTCTCTTCTGCCAGACGTGCCCTGGTGCCCCGGGCTGCCGGCCAGGCCGGAGCGGCGCGGAGCTGCGAGGGCCGAACGACGCTGCTTGCAGCTTTAATTTCCATTTATTTTTTGTGTGTTGAAATGCAACAACTGTTTAAACACTTTTAAGGGAAAAAACATATTTAATATGTTTTTATACACTCAAATGTTAGGGTGATGATCATGTGTAAAACATTAGTTCAGCATGTCCTCTAACACAGCAAATGAACAAACGGCCAGATCTCAGGAGGACCGTTTATGTATAAATAATTTTTATACTTTTGACTAGGCCTGGGAAAGTAACACATTTTGCTGGACGATAATTTGTCCAACAAATTGTTGATGATAAACGATATCATTGTCAACATTATCTAGACCAAAATAACCACTAATACAATGTTAATATATCATAATAATGCAAGTACACCCTTTAAAATGCAACAAATAAACCTTCATTTAACATTGAAATGTCCAGAACCAGAACTTCTAAATGAATAAAAATAACAAACAAAAATTAAATAAAAAAGGAATCTCACTCCCTGTTAGAAAATGTTGCACCAAAAACAATAAAAAAAAAGACCCAAAACAATAAATACAATGGCCTATCCATTGTCAACAGCCAAAACTGCACTTCAATAATGATAATAGATAAAAATAATAATAGAGTTGTACATTTTTTAACTTTGATATATATATATATATATATATATATATATATATATATATATATATATATATATATATATATATATATATATTGAGGATGGAAAAATTATTGAGATGGGCACGTGACGTGTCAAGGGGTCTTTACATAACACCCCCCACCCAAAATCCGCACAAGCCTGCTGTGTCCCCCCCACTTCTGAAATCAAAATTTCGTCCTTGGCTGTAACAGATCACTGCACAAGAGAAAACCATGTAATGGACTGGGACAACACAAGGATCATAAACACTGAACAACAGAAATACAAAAGATGGATAAAGGAAGCCATAGACATAAGGAGACGTAGATGTGGGACCATGAACAGAGACAATGGAGTTTACTCATTGGATCGCGCATGGGACTGCATCATAGGAGAGGGGAGAGCGGGCAGCAGAGGGTGACAACGTCCTCCGCTGCCCACGGATAAGCGGAGTAGGAAGTGACGCCAACATCAGCGTCAGCTCTGAGGATGTTTCCAGCCGCAAACAAAACCGTCAGCAAGGTGAAGAAAAACCTTATCTGTGTTTAAAAAAGAACCAATAATGGAATTTTACATCTCTACATTTTTTCTGTCACATCTTTGTATTCCCTCTTTATAGTAAAGAATGAGATGAGAATCAGCTCCTCTAAATTTGAGACCATGGTCCTGAGTCGGAAAAAGGGTAGAATGCCTTCTCCGGGTCAGGGATGAGGTCCTGCCACAAGGGGAGGAGTTTAAGTATCTCAGAGTCTTGTTCACAAGTGAGGGAAAGGTGAAGCGTGTGATCGATGGGCGGATTGGTGCTGTGTTTGCAGTGAAGCGGGCGCTGCACCAATCAGTCATGGTGAAGAGAGAGCTGATTCAAAAGACGAAGCTCTCGATTTACCGGTCGATCTACCAAAATAGGTTTTCTCCCTAGAGTGGCTGGGCTCTTCCTTAGAGATAGGGTGAGAAGCTCGGTCATCTCGGCTCGGAGTGGATTTACTGCTCCTCCACATCGAGAGGAGCCAGTAGAGGTGGCTCAGGCATCTGGTGAGGTTTCTGTTTACGTCCAACCGGGAGGAGACCCAATGGAAGTCCCTGGACACGCTGGAGGGACTATGTCTCTCGGCTGGCCAGGGAACTTCTTGGGATTCCCCCAAAGGAGCTGGCCCAATTGGCTGGGGAGAGGGGAGTCTGGGCCTCCCTGCTTAGGCTGCTGCCCTCACGACCCACTCTGGGTAACCGGGAGAGAAGGGATGGATGGATGGATAGTACAGGATAAGTAAATAGTTTTGCAAACACAGACTCATGAACAAAAAACATATTTTAACATGTATGATATTTAATTTTGTAGGTGGACAGTAGAAACTTATTATCGCTGCACAATGGAACACAAAGCAACATCCACACATTGGGTCCTAAGATGCCTCTGCTTCATGCTAATTCTTTGGGTGAGCACAGCTCAAGACGAAGATTTAAGAAGTAAGAGTACATATGTTTTTTACTTCCTGTACAGGTAAAATTGTTTTAGTGATGACTTTAGATTCTGGGTACCAAGACACCATAACCCACTGTGCTTTATTTTACAACAGGCTGCAGGACTGCACCGTGTGATTTAGTTTTTATACTAGATGGCTCATGGAGTGTTGAAGATGTCAACTTTGAAATAGTAAAGCGATGGATGGTCAACATTACAACTACCTTCAACATTGGACAAAGGTTTACTCAGGTTGGAGTGGTCCAGTACAGTGACAGCCCAGTTTTAGAAATACCTCTGGAGAGGTTCTCTACAAACAAAGACCTCATCAAAGCCATGGAGTCGATTGAGTACATGGGTGGAAACACAAACACGGGTACAGCCATTGAGTTTGCCACAGACAGACTGTTTGGGCTTTCTGAGCGAGGCCATTCAGGCGTTTCCAGAATTGCTGTTGTTCTCACAGATGGGAAGTCTCAAGATGAAGTCCTGAAAGCAGCTGAGACTGCAAGGAAAAAAGGGGTTATCCTGTTTGCAATTGGTGTTGGGTCAGAGACAGAAGATGCTGAGTTAAGGGACATCGCAAACAAGCCGTTTACGACATATGTCTTCTCTGTTGAAGACTACAAGGGTATTTCAAGGATTATACAGGTCATAAGACAAAAACTATGTGAAGGTAAGAAGGGCTGATCTGCCTCCAAACCTTTGTCTCAGTAATTTTCTAATCTAATTTACATGTTTTCCTGTTACAGAGATCGTTTGTCCAGCAAGGATCCCTGTAGACTATCGTGATGAAAAGGGCTTTGATATTCTTCTAAGTTTAAATTTGGCTAAAAAGGCAAAGAAGACAAGAGGAACATTTTACGGTGCTAAAGCATATGAAGTGACCTCTTTGGTGGACTTGAGTGAAGCTACACGGTAATCATAACTCCTTTTTATTAATTTTGTTTTCTTCACCTCTGGTGCATTCAGAAGACGACAGTTTCTGTTGGGAGGGCAGGTCATGGTCAAGTGGGGTTCCTCAGGGTTATGTTTTGGGACCCCTTCAATTCTTGTTCATCCTTTGGATAGGAAATAAACAAATTGGACCTTTTCTACATTAAATAAAGATTTAAAATAACTACTTTCAATCAAATTCCAAAAATGACACAATATTGTTCATTAGTTACTTAATTGGTTTTCTGTTTGATCACCCAGGAGCCTTTTTCCTGATGGTCTGCCTCCATCATATGTTTTTGTGGCCACATTGAGGTATAAAGGATCAGTATCTATGGAAGAGTGGAACCTGTGGAGGATACAGACAAGAGATGGAAAACTTCAGATGGCGGTGACCCTAAACGGTTTTCAAAGGACCGTCACGTTCACCACAACCAGCAAGGCCCCAAGTGAAACACAGTCTGTCACATTTTCACAACAAACGGCAAGGGTGAGTAATCTAATGATGAGGTGAAAAAGTAAACATTTCAAACAGAATTTTTCATATATTTAACAACTTTTTGAAAAAGCGACCTTCCCGTTAGCATTTTAAAGATAAAATTATAAAGCATCTTCAAAGGCAGCTTGGTGGTTTATGTTCAGTGTTTCTTAATGAGCTCTGGCAGGTTTGAAATAACAAACTGATCCTGTTAGAATTATCGCTGCTTCTGGTCAGAAAAGTCAAACTTTTGGCATAAAGCCTGCATTTCAGACTCGAGTTATAGTGTTTCAAAACAAGTGACCTTAAATACACTCTTCAACTAAAACTAAAGCTTTTCTTGACATTTTTGCATCTTAAATCTTAATATTAATTCTCATGGAGTCTAAAACTAAAACAAGGTATTTATTCATTATTCAGCACAAATAGTCTTTGTCCACTGCATCCCTCCTGTTTTAGCATTGGTGGGAAGCATTTTGCATGCCTAAACATTAGTAATATGTGGCTTGAGTAATACTGTGCTTGGCCACAAGATCGGTAACTAACCCTAACCAAAGCCACAAAATAATCTAATAGGAGAATTTGGGTTTGCAGACTCATATGTACCATTGTGTGGCCACAAATTTTAATGCAGAAACAATCCATGGGATTGCATTTTCAGATTTCACTGTTGCAACACTCACTGAAATAAATGTATAGTTCTGACTGGTATGAAAACCTAACAACGTCCAGACTCTTGGCAAGTTATTGACTTTATGAATCTGGATCTGATTTCTGCAGGTGCATGCATTAGTTTCTCAAAAACAATAACTCCTTTCTTCATTGTTCCCATTGGTGTAGCAGCTGTTATCCATCAGAAAGTAGTCATGTTGTCTCCCGGCCCCTTCGGGCTCCAGCCAAGGGAGAGCTTCCACATTATCTGTATATTGTTTTCATTTTAACTGATATACTTAGTGGATCCAATTAACTGTCTGTGTTTAAGGACGACAATATGTTCAAACGCATATTGCCTAGAGCTAGCTACGTATTTAACAATATCCAATGGTTTCAATTTATTTTAATAAATTGTATTATAATAAAATCAAGATCAAATGTATTATTATTTGTTCAGCAGAAACCATGCTTATAGAGAATATGTTTATAATATGGCCAAAATTCCCACACTTTATGTAATCAGGGCTAAAAATTACCATTCTTTTGGTCATAAGTAGCAGTTAAATATAATCTTTTTATCATCTTAAACAACTGTGAAAGGTTAATCTGTTCTTGTTTATGTGTGATTTAGGAACAGTCAGTCACATTTAACTTCACATTCGGATGATTGTAACTCCCATCAGTACTGCATCACGTTTGCAATTGGGGCAAATGCAAATGGGTGGTTCTTAACTGGCACGAGAAAGTTTGATGCTACTGAAGTTTTTCGGTCATCCAGGTCATGGTAATCTAAAGGGGTTTGAACAAAGGCAATTGGATTTCTTTGATTTCTTGAAGACGTTTCGCTTCTCATCTGAGGAGCTTTGTCAATTCTGATTGGAAAATGGGAGAGCCAAGCTTGAGAATTTGATCACCCCAGAGCGGCGTTTGCCTCTCTGCATTGGTACAAGATTCTTCTTTTGGTTTTTGAAATCTTGAATGAGCATGCTCCAGCCTACGTGTCTAAATTAGTGCAGCCATATGTCCCTCTGCACTCGCTTCGGTCTGAGAGGAATGAGAGAGAGGAGTACCAAGGTTATGCCATGCTATGGCATGGTATGGTATACTGATAGAAGAAGAAATCAGACCTTTGTGGTATTAACAAACAGGTAAATCATAATCCTTGGTGTTGTAACACGTGCCTTCCTTCTCTTAGCAAGCATGTCGCAACGGCATCACTTTCCCTCAAAAGCCAAATGATTTAATGTCCACATGCTGCTGTCCTTTGAATCTCATAGTTTATTAGAGCTAGCTTGAGGGGGAAACGGAAAAAGTTAGTCTGCATTCATGTAAGAGTGACACTTTTTCATATATAATAATCATTTGATCTTGACTGTTTGATTGTTGTTTAATGTCTTTCTTATGGCCAGATCAAAAGAATTTGGGTCTTGTCCGGGATGTTGTTGGTCCACCAAAAATGAAAAATCTGTTAAATCTTAGTGACAGCAGCCTTTCTTTGCTTTCCTGTAACTAATAGGCCAAATACTGTATTTGAACAAAAATGTCTATGCGTATTAATTCATATGTTGTTGTTTCTGATACAATATCAACATGCTAACCACCCTGCTCACTCCCATCCTTTTCCAATGAAGAATCTGTTTGATGAGAAGTGGCACCAGTTACGGCTGCTGGTGACAGAAGAAGATGTGACTCTGTATGTTGATGACCTGGAAATAGAAACTTTACAACTGGAACCCTCTGTTGGCATTTTCATCAATGGAAAAACTCAAGTGGGAAAATATGTCAATAAGGAAACTACAGTACCTGTAAGTATATCAGGATCTTTAACGTGACTTTTACTGAACTCATGTTGTTTCATGTTCAAATACAGTTCAATTTGAATAGTGAAGATTTTTACATCTCCTACGTAAGCCAATTTGTCAACACATTATTAAAGCTAAATGTATTTAATTGTGAGGTTCACTGAGAAACATATAATTCTTGTTATTCCTGAAACACGATCAGTCACTCTGAGTTACACATGCAGGCTGAATATGAACATAGTCTTCTACCCCTATTTCCTACATTGACTTCTGATAGAAAATAGATGTGGAAACGCTCAGGTCAGAAAAAGCCACACAGATCTACGTCACAATTTAAATCAGCATTCATGGACTTACCCACCTTGAGTGATGACTGCAGAAGGCTGTTGTTGATTTAGCAGCCAGGAGAAAGCAGGGCACATCTTGGCTAGAAGAAGCTAACATTTAGAATTAGCAACTCTACAACATGGCAGAACTCCTTCTGTCTCGTGGTTTTTGTGGAGATAAAATATTGCAGAGCAAATGGAGGGAGTGGAAAAGTCACGTTGCTGTTAGCCAATCAGAGGTGAGATTTCTGAATAATGTAAATATTAATGAGTAAGACTCCGAATTCAGCCGTTTTGTGCCTCACTCTAATCTTCTTCCTAAAACAGGAGCGCCAGAGCTTTTTTTCCCACAGCGTTAGACTCACAAGGCATTAATTTATGCTAGAGACCACAGTACATACATTGAAAAAACAAATGTGTGCATAAATCCCAACTTGCTGATTAAATCTATTGTTTGCTGCCATTTGCCTGAGAAAATTGTTTCAAGTCATTACACACTGTGATGTTCTGACTGCAAACAGTTTTTTTGAACAAAATAGCAATAGCATTTATATTCACATTTTAGTTATTCAGTGTCATCTCTCATACAAAATTGATTTGTAAGCTGTTGTTTCATGAAATGATCTAAATTCTGCCAGATGAGCTTTTATTTGTCACTCAGCTCACATGGAAAACTTAAGTAAAATATTCTTGGCACAGTCATTTCACTCCCATCATGGACAAAATTCCAAATAATGGAAGAACGGGGTAATGCTGCTGCTTCTAAACTTAGGGAGGTCTGGCAACATGCAGCTGCTCAGAGCCAAGTGTAGCACTTTTCTTTTATTTTGCAGTTATACAATGGTACTTGTAATTTCATTGGTGGCAAAGCACAAATTAAATTGAATTTAAAGTCGCAAAACCCCTTCTGTGATCAAATCTGTATGTTTTGCACGCTCGGTTAGAGTTTCACACAGTAGAAATTATGCACTTTTCATCTTCTCTTTTTAAAAATGTCTTTTAGTTTGAAATTCAGAAGCTGCGAATTTACTGTGACCCGGAGCAAAACACAAGAGAGTCTGCATGTGAAGTACCTGGAGTTGTAAGTAAAAGGAATCTGTTTTTCCAGCTACTGCTTGTTTTGTTTGCTCCTTCAGGTTTTCGCTCTAGAATCCTTTGCATTTCCCTGCTTTCTTGATTTACATTTATTTAAAATTCATACAGAACAACTTTGGATAAAAGATGTATACACATCATTAATCTAAACTCACATCTGTTGTGCATGAAACAGCAGGAAGACCTGTGGCTGTGCGTCAAACATGCTGCTTTCAGTTGGAGTATATAGATAGTTTTGTTTTATTGCCTGCTGGCTCTAACTCTGTCTGCAAAGCTTTGGACTGAGTTTCGTTGGCTCAGAAACTGCTACAACCACAAAACTGGAGCCAAATTAGGGTTTTTAATTTGCAGCTGATGAAAAGAAATATCAAAAGAATAAAGATGAGTAAGTCTAAATTTACTAATTCTCATCATCAATCATTGCTTTTCCCTGCTATTTTTGAGCTCTTGCATTAGTTTGCTGTTTCCACATCTTGTCATCCTATCCTTTTTGCTTAGATGTTCAAATATCTTTCTGACATAAATACAGTTTTTGCGTAAATGTGCTGATAATGTGTAAATACTGTAATTTTATATGAAAAAACAATGGTGTGTTACAGTGCTCCAACAGTCCAGATTACACCGAGCCAACACAAGATCCCTGTATTTGTCCTGCCGGACCTCCTGGACATCCTGGAATTAAGGTTGTTTTCCTCTTTTTCCTTCAATATAGCAGTAATAGATCGCTGAACATTGACCAATTAAGCTATTTTTCACATATTCATCCAACAAAGATCACTCTTGCAAAGTAAACTAGTGACAAACACCTGTTTTCTTCCAAATTTGGTAGATTTATGGGATTAAATCACGGAAAAAATATATAAGCCTGTATTCATACTGAAACTAAGGCAAAAAGGCATTCATGGTTTGAGTTATCAAACTTTATTTGTGACCAACGTTTGGTGAAATGGAATGCTAAATCACCAGACGTTCTTTAAATGCTGCCAAAAATCAAACAAATAGCATGCGAATCTGTACTTTTCCAAATACCACAAAATAAACTGCCAGTATAAACCATTAATTTAAGCCAATGATGCCTTTAAACAAAGATTTCCTTTCCATCAGAGTACATTTCAGTTTGTGAGGTGCTTTAACCTCTGGAAACACACTCATAAATGCTCCGTTTAAACAGAAAAGTATTATGGCGGAACAACATTACTTGGCGGCTTTTCACTGTAAATGACTTAAATGTAGTGTTGTGAAATCCTGTTGTATTGAAGTATTTGCTCAAAGCAAATAAGCCCCTTGCTCAGGATAAATAATAATCACTGTGGAGACATTAAAGCCAAAGTGACTGAATTCGCTGATGACAGCAAATCAACCAACAAGCAGCCACAACACAAGCTTCTCAGGGTGAAACTAGTTTTGCAAAGATGTTACAAAAGTTAATTAAAACCTAGAGTGCAGTCTGGAGCTTTTTGTTGTTGTTGTTGTTTATAAGGTCACCAGTAAGCTTTTACAACATTCACTAATGGATCCAAAATGCTGCTTGTTTGCAGATGCTCTGAATGGCCCCACACAGTGCATCACTGTTAAAATCCACAAGCTCACTCATCACAGTTTATAGATAATTAAAACTCACACAGGGGAAAACATTTTGCTACAATGAATACTTTAAATATGGTCATGTAAGAATAAAGCGTGTAAGAATAAAGTACTGTAAGATTTCTACAGTGAAGTAATCCCAAAACAGTCTAATGCCACAATTATGTTGGAAGGATGGCTGTATTTCATTCTCAGCCGGCTGAGGGGGTTGTCAGTTTTTATCCTTTCAAAATAAAGCAAAGAGGAACATAGCCAATCTTTAACATCAGTGAGTGTGGGGTTTCCAACGCTGCAGAGCCGGCAATTGCTCCAGAGTAAAAAAAAAAAAAAAAAAAAAACTGAAGCCAGTAACAAGAGAGACCCAACATTTTATTTGTACCCCTAAGAAGCCACGGCATCCTTTTGTTTTACTCTAATAAGGGGTAAAGAAGGCCAGAGGCTAACGTTGAGTTAAGAATGTGTAACGTCCAGCAATGGTCAGTTTTCACCTACAGATTGACCCACATGCCACCGGTCATCTGCAGACATAAATTCCATTCTCTAAAGTGGATTTTACATCCTAGCTTCCAACGAACCCAGAAAGATACTGCAGCCTTGTTTACATTTCAGGAGGAACAAGATGTCAGGCTGTGTTCCCAAACAAAGCCTTCTTTTGATAACACAGCAGGATTGCTCACTCTCTGAATGAAGTGACTATTTTCAGCTCATATGAGTTAATCAATCGTTAAATGAAATGAACAATAATGGTTGATGAATAATAATGATGTCTTGATTAATCTGTGCTTAAATTAATAAGGTTGATTAATCTGTGCTTAAATTAATAAGGCTGATTAATCTGTGCTTGAATTACAGAAGTTTGAAATGAATGTTATTACTGCATTGAAAGATTTATATATATGATGATCAGTAACGTTTGATATGACAAGTGAATCATTATCTACACTCAGACGCAAGGTTCATTAGAGATAAATTAAAGTTAAGTTGAACGTCATGGCACACAGATATTTTCTTAGCCACAAATCAGAGCATCCTGTATCTGAAAGAAGGCATGATGTTCTGAGGTTTGCTTGTTAACACCCCTTAACATGGCACGTCCCGGTTGGCCAAGAAATCATAATATGAGAATATTAAAACAGCTCACTTGACAGTGAGTCAGTTCTAGAGAAAGCTACGGACAGGCCATCCAGAGCGAAACCTCTTTAACCCAAAGCTTTCGACAAGCTAAAAGCTGCCTACAGCTGACACAGCAAGCGGTTCCTTTAGCTATTCAGAAACAGCTGATCTAGACGCAAACGATTTCATCTATCTGTTGTGATCCGGGAGACGACTCTGGACCGACCTGGTCACACTGTGGTTTTTTTCTACGAGCTTCAGTACCTTGGGGTCACCCGACCCCCCCGATATCTCGGATCTGAAAGAGAGTCTCTTCAGGAGTACGTAGAACACAGCCAGATAGAGCCGTTTTGATAAGAACCAACCTCATAGTTTAATGCAAACCAAATTCCTTTTCACACCCAGAATTCAGTTTTTCTAGATACAAGGTTCTGATAAACACACACCATTAAATCACCATACATCACATCCCATCCTCAGATTCAACCATCACAGTAGCCCTGGTTAACTTGTCATGTTTTTATTTGATTAGAAAATAAATGTCTTATCTTTTATAAACCTGACTCTGTCTGAATTGAGACGAAGTGTTTGATCCCTGGAAAAAGCAAATCATCCTAGAATCTTCTGATTAAACATCCAAAGACCAAGCAGTTTGATATTCTATATTTATATAGAATATCACATCTTATTGATCATAAGTAAAGGTAAAATATTAAGCTTAAAAGCAACAACCTTTACCCTCTACAAATGCTAACAGTGAATTGCAATCAAATATTTGTCTCTACAAAATATCTCAAGCAACTTCTTCAATTAACAGCTCAATGTTACTGTGAAATGTATGTGTCAAGTGCATATTGAGTGTAACATGACATTTTTCTTCCTTAAATAATTATTTAGAGCAATAAAAACAAGCTACTGGCAGCCAGACAGTAAAAACAACACTTCCTTTATGCCGGAGGCCTATTACCATAATAAGTGTAGTACGTGCTCTCTACTGGAAAACACCTAGTAGTGCTATTTTCAGATATGACAATGCATCTGCGTACGACCAGTCTTTGCTTGTTATCTAGAATCGTCTGGTGCTGATCCTTAACTGGAAACGGCCATGAAACTCACAAAACAGGAGGGAGAGATTGCAGTAACCACATTTGACCACAGGATGTCATCTTACTTCATTCTTCCACACTTCACCTTTAAGAAGTAAAAGAAACCAAACTTGTTTTAGAGATGATTAAATGGTGTATTTGTGGTGTTTTAGGGGGACAGAGGAAATGCTGGGATGCCTGGTCGGCCTGGACCTGCTGGTGCTGATGGTAAGCCTGTGAGTACTACCGAAATCAATATTCAATCATACACAACATAACTATTAATGAGAAAACTGAAATAAATAAAAGCATTTCAAATAAATACATCCATTAAATCATGATAGCTTCTGTTTGCTTGACTCTGGATCGCTCTGGATCTGGATTACTTCACTTTTGAAGTAAAAATTATTAATGTTGATCTCTACCGTAGAACATAATTCTGAGTGTATAGTAGGGATGATTGATATCGGCTTTTTCACCGATACAATCTCTCTTTTTTACCTCTTTTTTTATGATACCGACATAAACCGATACCAATACATGTAGGTTCTCTCCTCATAAATAAAGTAAAATAAAAATTAGGTAACTTTATATCTCCTATCATGCAAACTTAAACTTCAAGCATTTTCTGTGCAAAATATGACAGCTACTTTAATTTTGGAATTATCTCTTAAACGGCATCTCAGATCTATCAGATTTTGAAATTTTAGTTGAAAAAGCTGAAGAGTTTGATATATAAGATGTGTCTGGTATGTAAATATTGTGCAATATAGGTCAACTTCACTGGAAAAATGAGAGCATCTCTACTAGTAGAAGCTAACCATTAGCATCTCCGTCAAACGACAGAACTCCTTCAGGCTTAAGTTATTTGTGGAAATAAAGCATCAACATTCCAAAGCAAACGGAGTCAGTGGTAGAGTTGCGTCGCTGTTAGACAGTCAGATGCAAGATGTCCAAATATCAGTAAATAAGACTCCTGTCGTGACTTTCTTCCCAACTGAAATCTCTGCACCAGAGCTTTGTTTCCTCATGACTATTAGAGAACGCTGTACGTGTATTAAGTAAAGTTGAACTATAAAAGAGTAAAAACCAATACTAATACCAATTTAAAATATTATATGTTAATGCCAAAATCAGCTGATCATATCAGACATCCCAGATAGATACTTTATAATCTGAGTTTATTCCAGGCGTTATTCTGCAGGATTCACTTCGCTTCAGCAAGTTTTAGTGGAATTTTATCCATTTGTTTATTGTTTTAAGTATTTCTGGAACCACATATGAAATATATATTTGATCATCCTTAGTTGTCTTTGAATTGAAGTTGATTTACTGTTTTAGTGAATGCAACATTTGTCTGTTTGTAGGTTTGTACTTTTCACCACTGCACTGCTGAATAAATCACACAAAGGAAGCTTTTACTCTTGTGCAGCAAAAAAACAAAAGTTAAAAGGCAGCCAAAAAGAAAAATATGTGAAAAGTTCAAGAAAGTTCAATATTTGACTAAATGCACATTATATTTGTTAAATCTGAAGGGTGTCCCTGGTGTTAGAGGAAGTCCTGGGCAGCCAGGTTCACCAGGATTAAAGGTAAACTTTTTATTTATTGATACACCCCAGCATGCATTTACAATGATGATCAGATCAAATATTAGGCTTTATTTTTTGTGTTTTTTGTTAGGGGGCACGTGGACCAGATGGGTACAAAGGCGAGCAAGGAAGAGCAGGAGTTTCGGTGAGAAATACAAAACCACATTAGTGAAAAAAATTATTTTAATTGTAAAACTTACTTTTGAAACGTTTTTTATATCATAAATCTGTTTTCCAGGGAGAACGGGGTATGCCTGGAATACCAGGATCACCCGGACAACCAGGAGAAAAGGTGCTAGTGTTCATTTTTTATGTCATTCTGTTATTTTTTTTTGGTTAAAACAAATATTTTCTTATTTCAAATCAAGTAAAGGCTGAAAGAGGCAGATCTTTGCAGAAAAAAGCAAAATGATAGTTAGAAAGTAAAAAAAGACATTTAACTGTCAAGGTTTTTACGAGATCAAAAGTAGGATTGTCAGGAAGTTCCTGTTAGACACATCAGCTTCATATTTGAAAATGGATGCATCAATCACACAGGAACCATATGTTTTCAATATAAAGCCAGATCTCTGGAGAGAGTAAAAAGTACAGCTCCTACACTGGTGGAAATCTCCTTTGCTGGGACACCACAATGGTCATTAATGACCATTTAGATCTATCTACTGACTGCTCTGCTGCCTCTTCAGGAAGCCCAAAAATCAACGTTGTGTTGATGTGGTCATTTTTAGGCAAAGTCAATTTTTGGTTCTTTAGATTCTTGTTTTACCCTCCAAAACATCTGCTCACTGCCTTCCCTGTCTTAGTTCACATACTGAGTAGACAATCAAACTCTAATTGTATAATCAACCAACAACAAACAGTTTTAGATTAGAAGAAATGGAAAACTAACTCAGCATTTAACTTTAACCAAGCCTTCACAGGGGCTTTAAAAAAAAGTGTGCTAAATTCCCATGAATAGACCCTCCGTGAAGAACAGAGGTGCATCTAAAGAGCCTGAAATAACTCATTTTCCAACCAGCAAAGAGTCGTTTAGGCATCAAAATAATCAATGGCCTTGTAAGGTTCTGCTTTAAACATAAAAACATTTGCATGTACCTTCCCAAATTGCTCCCATATTGTAAGGCCACCCAGAGATGCAGCTTTGTTTTCCTGCTATGGCATGTTGAGGACGGAAACATGAACAATTTGCCAAATGAAGCCACATTAGGGACGTGATGTTTACAGTCAGGGATCTGCATTTGTGACCACATCCATTCATCACTCTTTCATTTAGCAATTTGTTGGGCATTTAGAGTGTGACAGCGATCACTGCCTTTATTTCAAGAAGTTGTTTGGAAAAAGGTCAGTAAAACAACATTTAGTCAGCAGCACACCTGTTGGCGAAGTTCCACTTTATATCTGCTGAATCTGATCTGCTGCAATGCTTCAACTAACCGTGAGACCAAAAACTTAGTATTTTGGGTTTTTGGTGCCCTGGCTGCAGGAATATGTTCCCTCTGAGTAGAAGTCAACCGATACTCCAATTTCCTATTGCCAATACCAATGCTGATATGAGGGAGACATAGTCAGCTGATGGCTGATATTTACTGCCAATTTTTATGGGCTGATTTCCATGGCCGATATCTTGACATTTTTCACCTTATTTTCAAGCTAAACTGTCACTAATAACCATGTTACCAAGTCACTGCTTTGCAAGTCAAAAGTAAGTCACAAGTCTTTCCAGTCACGTTTCGAGTCAAGTCCAAGTCAATTCAAGCCCAAGTCAAGTCTAAAGTAATTGATGTGGAAGTCCAAGTCAACTGCAAGTCCTTAACTTTGAATTTTCAAGTCATAATCAAGTCATCTTTCAAACTTCAATTTCATGACAGTGATAATAAATAAATTCCAGAAATAAAGCTTCTTAAAGCTTCATTTATTTGCTGAAACAAGCAGAAAGTACAACTGAAATTGGTCTACACAAAGTGCTGCTGCATTTAGCAGAACAAGATCAAACCCAGAACGAAGAATTATTTATGATTTTTGTCCATGTCGTGCCACTTTTGTGCAAAAATATCATATATGCTCAAGTCATCATTAAGTCAACAGATGCAAGTCGATTCAAGCTGCAAGTCATTGGCGTTCAAGTGCGAGTCAAGTCATAAGTCTTTATATATTTTATCAAGTCAAATCAGAAGTCATTAAAATAATGACCCGAGTCAGACTCGAGTCAAAGTCATGTGACTTGAGTCCGCATTTTCTGCTAATAACATGAGTTGATGCACAAGATTTCTGAAGCTGAATCAGTTTTTGAACTCTGAGTTTAACTAACTGTTAAATCTTACCATACCATACCAATTTATTTATGAAGGACAATTTCAAAATAGCATGGCAGCTAACCAAAGTGCTATACATAAAGGAGCCAAATGCTTGAACAAATCAACAAAACACAATGAAATCAGGTAAAATACATAAAAACATAGTATAAAGTCAAAGTCATTGTTATTGTCATTTCTACCACATGTGCAAGACATACAGAGAAACGAAATTGAGTTTCAGTACACACAATTCAGAGATCAGACATACATGGGTAAGACACATGACAAGAATTGGTGACTGCGGTCATTCGCAACATTAGTCGTGCTACCTTAATAGATAGATGAAAAGGGTGTTACATGAGGATAATTGGGGGTAAGGTAAAAAAAAAGGCATAGCAGAGTTAGACCCAGCGGGGAGTAACTCTATTATACAAAAAAACTCCTCGACATAGAAGCACAAACAGCACAGATGCAAAACATCAGAGTCTGATGGGGAGGCGGGGTTGGGCGGGATCCTGAAGCCTCCAATGGGAGCTGCCGGTACGGCGCATCAACCAGCTGCAGACCAACAGGTGGGAGGGAGAGATAAGGAACAGAGAGCACATTGAGTTTCCCACAGGTCGCTGACCTCAGCAGAAGTCACAATCTGAAGGCCGGGGGGGGGGGGGGGCACAGCATCTGTCAGCATTCCTCCTTTCGTGGGGGTGTGTTGAGCAGCCTTGAGAGGCTGCCTTGGCGTCAGATAAGGGATAAACATGGCTTTGTTTGGGACAGGCAGAGATAATTTTCCTCTCTGCCTTGGAGTCTGTAGGTGGTCATTCATGTCCACCAGTGAAGCCAATTTTACGTTCTAAACATCCCCACATCGTCCGGCGACCCTCTCCGAGATGACATCCATCTTGCGTAGTAATACAGGCAACGCCGCAAGGACATTATCCAGCTTACGGTTCACCTCGAGTAACGTCCCAGTCTGTGAGGTCACCGCACGAGCGGCACATTCCATGGGCGCGGGTCGCACTCCAATCGCTCCCGTCTTCCCAAATTTCCAGAAAACCAGATATCCTCCCACTCCAATCAGATGAAATCCAGTGATCATCAGGCCGAACATCCACAAATCTTCCACGTCCTCGATGGACAACTGAGAAAGGCACACGATTCGCCAGGCCTCCCAAGAATCGAGTGCATATCCCACTGCGAACGTCCCCTCGGGACAGGTGGGAGCCCCCTTCTCCGTTCTCATCGTAGAAAAAAATTTATCAATCGCGTTGAATGGCCAGTTAATTAGGTCCATATTTCCAAAAAAAGAGTAGTGATTTCAGGAGAAATGCAGAGAAGTGCTCTGTAGGCTGACAGGACAAGAGCCTTGCGGAAACAGATAAGGGAGCTGAGAAAAAGCGTCTGTACTCTCTGAAGGCTGGAGAAGAAGGATAAAAATCAAGGATAAAAATTCCTACTAAAAACAATAGAATAATAGAACAGTTAACAGCACTATCAAAAATAAAAATAGTGCGACGAATGTTAAAAATCATTTGAAATGGCACAAATAAAACCAAAAAAGCTACAAGATGGTGCGAGGTGTTTAAAGTGAGCCACTGAATCGTAAAAACTAAATTAAGAAAAATAAACCCGGTGCTGAATTTTCAAGTAAAGTGTCACGGAGGGAAGGCAATACTGAAAAAGTGTGTTATAAGGGCCAACTTGAATCTGCTGACGGAGGGAGCCAAACGCACATGGAGGGACAGAGTGTTCCAGAGTTTTGGGGCTGCATGAGAGAAGGCACGCTCCCATCAACTTTGTGCACTGCTCAGTGTTACAGTCAGATAGCTAAATAAAGCTAATTTAGAGTATTTATTATGCGGATGTTGTTAGTGAACATAAAAATACATTTAAATTAAATTCTGCAACAACACCAGGCTGCCCGAGGATGTGCCTGACTTTAAATCGGCTTTACTAATGACAAATATTGGCCAACGCCAATGTATATTATTGGTATAATATATATCGGCCGACCAAAATATCGGTCTACCCCTACCTCTGAGCGTAATTAGAATATTAGAAGTTAACTAATTCAAAACAAGTGGAAAAAGGTATTTCACGCCAAATCACTATTTCTTTTAAACCATATTAAAATGCAGAGTCTACTAATGTCCCAGGATGTTGCAGTAAAACATTTTAACCAGTTTAATCAAAACCCTGATTTCAATCAATCTTTGTAACCAGACTTTTGAGTCTCGACAGATCAAAGTAACAAAATCAATCAATGTCAACTTTGAAAATCAACACATGTTTAAAACATGAAAAGAAGAATGCAGATGACTTCTTGAACTGTTGCCTTTTCAGGGGTCAATGGGATTACCGGGAACAGCAGGACTATCTGGAAAACCTGGTCAACTTGTAAGTATCCAGACAATCCATACAGAGGTAGTTTAGAAGGTTTAAAGTGGATTCAAGGTAATGAGCAGTTCTCACTTTGCCTGTTGTAGAAAACTATTTGAACAGCCTCAATTTAGAGAAACAGAGATCAGCTCTGACAGATAGATGAGCTGCTTTAGCTGACTGAGGCTGGTTACAATGGGTTTCGGTTTCCCAAAAAGTCAAAACTGTTCTGCCAGAATAACTGTGAAAATGGGAAATTTGTGGAAATAAAAGTTATGAAATACCATATTTGCAAATGATTTAAAGGTGAGATTTACTGAGAAACATTCAGTACCTGCACTTTTTGAATCTGAGTTTCACATGCATGCTGAGCATGAAAATAGTCTTCAACCTTTCATGCCTTAGCTGCCAAAATAAAATAAACACTTGGCATTTGAAAAACCACACAGATCTATGTCACACTGTAAAATTGCATTCGTGGATTCACCCATCTTGGCTTGCCACCAAATCAGGCTGTTGTTTATTTAGCGCTTAGAAGAGCCATGTCTCCACTAGTAGAAGCTAACCGCTAGCATTAGAAACTTATTTGTGGAGGTAAAACATCAACATTGCAGATCGAACGGAGGCAGTAGAAGAGTTGTGCTGCTGTTAGCCAATCAGAGGTGATTAGGTACTCTGTCAGCAAACATTCAGGGGATATTTGAAAAGAGAACTACCGTAGTAATTACATGCTGAAAGACATTGATTTGTTTGCAAAACCTAGATTTAGAGCTAAAATTAAGGAGTGGAATATATCTGCAAATGGTGTTAAATTATGGAATAACATTAAAAGGGAAATTAAAAAATACTCTGTCATTTAATATATTCAAAAAATGTACCAATTTGAGTGTACTAAATAATTATTAAAATGTTAATTAAATCAATGATCATGATCGCACTGGAATTAAGAACAGTAAAAAGTTTAAAATGAATCTGTATGTGTGTCTGACAAATGGAAATTGTATATAAATGTATTATTTCTTCTGGAAAATGGGGCAGAAACTATAAGATGTTTTTCTTCATTCTGCTCCCTTTCGTTCAAATTAGAACTTTTGTTATGTATTTCTTATTGTTTATATGTTTTATTTGTTTTTATTCTGAACGAAATATAAAAGAGAATATATATATATATATATATATATATATATATATATATATATATATATATATATATATCGGGAAAAAATAATGAATTGGACTCCAAATCTTACTGCCCCCCCCACCCCCCACCCACACACACACACACACACACACAGTTATGGCTAACTTCTACTTCCTGAAACAACAGCACCAGAGCTACTAGAGTCCACAGCAGATTTATTGAAATGACGAGTGTAGGTCCCTTTTGTAAATAGTGATTTCTGGCATATCAGTTTGTTTCTTTAAACTAAGTTTGTACAAAGAGCTGTGTTCAAAACATTTTTACTGTAACCCATTTCAGAAGATTTCACTTGTGTCTTTAAGGTTTATGAACAACTCGCCTGCCCAATAACACACACAAGATCACAGCTTTACTTGGATGTTGTGATTTTTTTTCCAGGGAGAAAAAGGAAGCATGGGACCTCCTGGGCTGCCTGGATTTTCAGGAACTCCTGCAAGTTTTCAACAATCACAATTGTTCCCAATTCACTGGGACTTTATTGTTTAGGCAAATCATTTTTCCTCCCCTGAATATCTTAAGAATATGTTCCTCTGGGGTTTTAGGGTGTACCTGGGAGGGAAGGTAAAGATGGAATTCCAGGGAGAGATGGTCCAAAGGTCTGTTTGCTTTATTTTTTCATGCAACAAAAGTCATTCCTTAACAAAAAGTTAAAAATAACTGGATTACTTTGCACAGTTTAAGCATGAATACATAAAGAAGTGCTGTTGTTATTTGGTAACAGTTCAAAATTAAAGAAAATGTGTTTATCTTTTTCCCCAGTTGGCTTTTCAACGCTAAAATATGAAATGATTTTTCTCCTACAAAATAAAATAATTGTATTACATGCATCATGGCATATATCATGGTTGATGTGATGCTTAGCAATGGGTGCAGAAAACTGGAATAAAAAGTGAAAATCCCTTTTTTTGTACCTTTGTATGAAGGGTGATCCTGGAGCCAGAGGCATTCCTGGTGCTGATGGGAGGGAAGGGCATCCTGTGAGTTATCAGTACAAAGCATGAAGAATTTTTTTCTGAGTATATTTGATCACTCTGAATTTTTTATGCAGGCTGAACATCAAAAATGGTCTCCTATACCTAGCTGCTGTGTTAGCTTATGATAGAAAATAGATGCTAGCATTTGAGAAGCAAGACAGCTCTGTAGTACACTCACTTAGCATTCATGGACTCATCCATCATGACTCACAACGGGGAAGGCTGTTGTTGGTTTAGTGTCCAGGAAACAGCAGAGAATGTCTCAGCTAGTAGAAGCTAACCGTTAGCATTAGCAACTTCACCACACAGCAAAAGCTCTTCCATGCTTATGATGTTTGTGGAGACAAAACATTAACAAGTCAGTGTTGGAGTCGGATAGCTGCCCCCCCAAGAAAGACATAAAGGGCATTCCTACTACACTGCAAGTGGATTGGTCAAACGAGTCAACCAATCCTTTAAGTGAATATTGAGTTATTTAGGTTGTCTATTGAAGTACATTTAAAATAACAGAATTGCTTTGATTACTAAATAGTTTCCTTTCTGAAGCTTTATAAACAAAATCATTCAACATAAAATTACTGGCAACAAAATGGTAAAAAAAAGACACAAACATCGATTGTGGATTTTATGGATCATATTGGCTTGTCCGCATAAAGTTTTATATTGTATTGAGTCTGTTGTGTGTTAACTGTCTGCTCTATAAAGTCTCTCCCTGACAGCTAGTAAATTAGTGGTATTTCCCCAGCAGTTCATCCCAGGATAGCCCTGTTATGTTACAAGCAGAAAGTAGTTAATCGCGGGAATGCCGTGGTGTTCTGGCAAATTCACTTAAGGAATAAATTGTTTCAGCATGGGAAGCTTTCCCACTGTTCCTGATCCTAAGTGTTGTCAGAAGTTTGTGATGGGTCTATGAAAAATGAGTCAATTCCCCCTGAAGGCTGTGAGCCGTTTCCCCTCAACCAGAACTACAGATGTTATTGTATCCAGGACAACAGGAACAGTGCTGCATGTAAAACACGATGCAGCCTGTCTTTCTGGGCCCCCTGCATGGGACATGCCCTTCTGCATGTGGTGAATCATGGCTGCAAACAGCTGTTTCATTCTCAAATATATTTGTGACATGCAGAAAACTAAAGGTTTAAAGTAACACAACAACCAGAACTTCTGTATAATTCTATCTCACAAAAATATATTTGATGCATTTAGAAAAAAACTGTCAGTACTAATGTTATTTTTTTTTCTTTAGGTGCACTGTGGCTAAAACAACTTTTTCACAATATTTTGACGTTTTGAGAAAAGAAAACCAAACGAAACCTTTTTTTTTTTACTTGGATCCTTGAGCCCCACCCTCACCCGCTGAAATGAAAAATACTTTATTGCTAATGAGACATGAATTCTTGTTATGAGTTTGAGTCATTTTAATTTAACCCCTTATGCCCTAGGGTCCCCCAGGTGGGGAACCCTGCGACGTTAGTTCCTTAACAGGCCCAAAACAACCCTCACACTACACACACTCACACTACAGAAGAAATAGTAATAATTCCCATCAAATTAACCAGCAAACCCAGCACTACAAGACTATCTAAACTATCTTTACCATTAAATACCATTTTTCGAGGATTAGGCTTCAAAATAGGCCTAGGGCTTAAGGGGTTAATGAATGTAAAATGAACACTGTGAAAACCAGAAACATTGCAATACGTTCCCCTTATTTGTCTTTCGCAAGCTCAGTGTGTTAGAGTGCCTCTGCATGCTCAGTTTGTCATTATTGTTTCATGAAAGGACTTTCAAACAAAAGTCATGTGGTCATTCACATTTTGCTATTTTATTTCTTTCTTGATACACATTAGGAAAAAAACACACGTATGGATTTTAATACTCGGTGCATCAAACATATCATGCCCATTTATCTATTTTGAGGGTTGAATGCAGGAGATAGGTGTAGGAGACTATTTTCATGTTCAGCTTGCATATTAAACTCAGAGGGAACAGTTATAAACAGAAAAATCCTTTAAAAATGTTTTTTTCAGTCAACCACACCTTCAAACCAACTCTCAAATTAAGTTCACTTTTGTGTTTCATTAAAGCTCTAAAAAGATTTCAATGTGATGTTCTTAATCAAAATGCTGTAATGATCTTTACATCACACTGAACAGAAGCACCTGGATAAACTGGGTTTACTATGACGGTTAAAACGCTGCACAAGGTTCTGCTGGTTAAGACTCAGTAGACCGCTGAATTAAGAAGACAAAAATACCAAGTTTTGCTGTGAAGAAGAATGCCAATAAGCTCCATGTTGGCCTTTGTAAAAAGATCAAAGACTACACAGCAAACAAAGCAATTCTGGTCATTTAGATGTTTTTTGTTTTATTACCGTGGAAGCCTAAAATACATTTGCTCCAGAGTGGTTTTGTACATTTTCAGGCATTTCACATGCAAAATAATTGCTGTTCTAACACAACATAAAAAGGAAACCCCCAAATGTTAACCACAGCCTCTTTTAGTGTATAAACTGAAGCAACAGCAGTTCATAAACTTGGTTTATAGCAAACAACATCCACTGAATTTTGTTGTCTTCTTTAAAACATTGACCTGTGCTTTCGAATTGTTCCTAGGGAGTTCCTGGTTTGCCAGGAATTGCAGGTCTGAATGGACAAAAGGTAAATACTTTTTCATGTGTGGCTCTGCAAGGTAAATGTTCTGAATCAGCTGTTGTGATATACAACTATCCTCATTCAAGGGGGAAACTGGTGAGCCTGGGACAAGGGGACCCAAAGGATCAGCAGGACCTCCTGTAAGATTGAACCTGTCGGATTATCTGAACAAAAGCTGTTGAAATAAAATCTGAAGAATTAAAGAAATCCTTTCTTTACTTTGCTGCAGGGCGAGTTGGGCTTACCTGGTGAACCTGGTATTGAAGGATTACCTGGACTCAAGGTAATCATTTATAAATAATCAGAAACGCTATAAAATCGTTGTAGCGAATCTGCTAACAAGCTAGGTTTAGAACACAAAGACGGTCATGGAACACTCACCCCTCCACCCCGGGTGTCTTCACTGGTTCCGTGTCCACCAGAACCAGAAATCCACATTGCCAGAGGATACAACAGAGCACTAAACACCAGTGGTCATTTTCTAGGTCTAGTCCAAACGCCCTTTGTTGTCCATGACTTCAAATGGTGTTTTTCTTTTTGGGACTCCGGTAGTTTGTCCTAAAGCTGAAGTGGTAGCGGCCGGTTGCTTGTCCTTCTCTGATATAGAGTGGACAACCTTTCACACCAGTGGTGTTCTGTTGCTAAATAAGCAAGTGCGTAATAAATGGAGGACGCAAAGCAAGTGAAGAAGTGTGGTGGTTTGGTGAGATTGACAATCCAATGGTGTATTAGTTGCTTTTGGTCCAAAACGTGTTATTGGCGGAGGTTCTTAGTCAAATGCAAGAAAAGCTCTTTATTCATTTTTTCCCACAATACGTTTATAGCCATAGTATATTAGAACGATGTACAGACACCGAGATGGGGGAAATGAGTATGCCCGCCCTTGCTTTGTGCCTCTCAGTGGGAGCAACTCCAGAATGGTAGAACCAACTGGTTCCAGAGCCATGCGTCGAAGCCAGAATCGTTCAACCTCACACACCAACTCAGTCTCTGTCGCCACATCTTTGACTTTCCACGTACCAAGAGCCAGCTTCTGCAGTCTAGGATCAGACCTCCGAGGACCCTGCCTTCAGCTAAAGCCTAGTTTATGCTTCTGCGTCTGCATCGGTGCAGAAACACGCAACACCATTATTCGTCCTTGCGAGGGCTTTTCAGCAGGCTCAGAAGGATGGACAGAGCCAAGCCCACTTTTTCAAACATCCTTTGAAGGAGACAAAGAACGCAAGCTTGTGATTAATCAGGTCGCTTTCGTCAACAACACTGCCATTGCGCCCTCAAAAACAAAGATATCTAGCAGCAGACACGGAGTAGACTGAAGAATACCTCGCGGAAAAACTGTAAGAAATACCGGGTATGAACGTTTACTCACCCATGACTGGAGGATTGGAGGACTTTGAGGCACAATGGCGCTGCCCTCCTTTTGTCTCTTCCTTTCTCTTTCACCTCTGTCTCCGTGTCCGGTCGGAATAACAATCATTCAAAAAACAATAACAATAAAGTTTTAAGTATCAGGCGTGACATTAAAGGCAGAAGCTTTGATGCCACCTGAAAGTAAATGTAATGGTCTGCGTCTGCCCCTTCCTTCATGTGCCTCCTGGTGTTTCTCCATCCTCTCTAGATTCCCTTCTGTGTCCTAGCGCCCTCATGTGTCTTTTGTCTGCGTCTCAGTTAAGTGTCTTATGTTGTTACCCTTTTTAATCATTCCTCCCAGGTCAGCTCCAGCCTCTTTGTCCCCAGCTCAGTGTGTGTGTGTGTATGTGTGTGTGGTTATGTGTGTGTATGTGCTATGTCCTCCTCCAGCTAGTTTGTGTGAGCCCTTCCCTCTGTCTTTAGATAATTGTTGTTTAGTTTTGTGTTTAGGTATTTGCCCTCCTCTGTTTGTTTTCCCCATTTAGATAATTATTGTCACCTGCCTTCCCTCCAGCCCTCACTCCACACACCTGCTTCTTGTTTACTTAATTGTTCTCCCTGTGTATTTAAGCCCTGTCTTGTCTCTGTTTAGTGTCGGTCCAAGGTTTGTTGTAATTCTGTCAAGTCTTCTCGTGCCTTTAGTGCTTGGATCTAGTCCTCTCGTGCCTCTTGTATTTTTGGATCTCCAGATCTCTATCTGGATTTTTGAACTGTTGGCTCCCAGCCTTTTGGATTACTTTTTTTTTGTTTTGTTTTTTTTTGGTTACTCCTAAAATAAAGGATTTTACTTTACATCTTCCCCAGCCTCGTGTCATCCTGGGTTTCTGCACATTTGGGTCCTAAACATCCCCAGATCTTGACAGTAAATCTGTAAGGCTTGTCACCAGCATTCAGACATTAATTCTGTTTGCTTCACAGCCAGACAGGACACGGGGGGGGGGGGGGGGGGGGGTGTTTGCGCTGTCGCCAGACGCAATTTTTGACAGCAGCTAAAAAACTAAAGTGTTGCCGACGCCACACACAGCGACGCTCAGTTTCTCAAAAACAATGAAGACAGCGGCGGAGTTCGCTGCGGCTCTTTCCTCTGTTCTAAATGACGAATGTCTTTAAAACCACAAGTAGAAGCACTATTCTTCTAAAAAAAAAATTGTTTGCGCCGTTGCCAGATGCCTTATTTTTTTACTACAGCGTCGAGGGGTACAGTCAGCATTTTCGTCTTTTTTCTGATTGGTTATTTTTGAGCTGGCTAGGCCCACCCCTCATGTGCCTCTGCCTTTGAGTAACCAGACATACTCTGCTCAGTGCTGATTGGCTCGGTTGGAATTCTCAGGGGGTGGAGTTATTTGAATAGGAGAGTAACCCACTCTTTCTCTGTGGAGAATTAAACAGAGGAGGAGTCTGGCAGGACAGGCTAAGACAACTTAGCTTCTACGATCACTGGGACACTAAAACCCCTCTACCACGTTAAGGTGCCAGGCCAGGGAGGGGGGCTTCTGCTAAATATTATGGTTTAGTTATTTCACTAAAGGTTTCCTTTAATTAAATAAATTTATCTTTTAATATTCAAGGGAAATGCAGGTGAAAGTGGAAGTCAAGGACTAAGAGGAACACCGGGAATTAGGGTAAGTTCAATTTAATATCAGAAAACCAAATCAAAAATATTTCCCAAACATTTTTAGACTGGTTACATTATGTGGTCTACCAAAGAGTTATTTCTTTCTCTCGCCCCCTTTTTTTATATGTAACAAAATATATTAAAAGGGGAGCACAGGAGAACCTGGAACACCTGGTCAGCCAGGACACCCGGGTATGCCAGGCTTAAAGGGAAGCAAGGTATCTCTACTACTGCTTATTACTCCTTTATTACTGTTGTTGCTGCTGTCTTGTCTCCTCATATTTCCTCAAGTCCCATGTAACTTCAACATGGTGTCTTTTACCTATCAAAAGTAAATTCATCATGTACTTATTTTCAGGGAGAAAGAGGAAATCTGGGTGAAAGAGGAGAACTGGTAAGTTTTGAGAATGTTAACTAATCAGAATTAGGCTTCGCACAAGTCAAATAACTTATCACAGTAGATTAAACTAATACAGAATGTTTTTTTATTCCAGAAGCAACATAAAATTTTTGATATTTCCACAATCAAATAAAATGAAATGTCACTCACTACAAAATAACAACCCTGAACCTTAAAGTACACTTGAAATAAATGAAATGTTGAATTTACTTAACTAAGTCATGTCAACTGGTTCCACTTAACCTATTTTCTTAAATGTAAAGAGTAATATACATTTATTTTTTACGTAACAACATATAACAATGTACGGAACCAGAGGACATAATTTGGTTAAGTCAATTCAACATTTCATTTTTTACAGTGTATTTACAATAGCATTTGCAAATTGTTACCGACGGGTTTTCAAGAGTTGCATTGTTATTTGTTTAAACTGGGATGACAACTTTTATAACTTTTTTCATGAAAAATGTTATGCTTCCTTCATCAGGGAGTGAAAGGAGAACAGGGAATGCACGGTCGACCAGGGATCCCGGTGAGTTTCTTTGAATATGATGACTTGAAGTGTAAATTATTAGTGGAAACTGTACAGACGGAGCCTGACAAGTCGTCCTATATATGTGAATATATAGTCTGGCCACGACCCATAGACAGAACTCGGTTGTTGAGCAGAATCTTGTCTTGCATGCTATTGGACAACGAACAATGTGATACACTCACCACTGTGTATGTCAACGAGGCAGTCCGACATACATAGTAGAAGAAGACGCAAATACATTCAAAAGAGTTAAGTACTTCTATCTGCTCTTGACTCAAAGAAAAGCTCAAGTCTAAATAGTCTAAAGTTGATGCCACAGCTGTTTCAAGTGAACCATCGCCATCTTTGTTTTGCCTAGTCGCAGTAACATCCTGCCTGTCAAACTGATGGAGCACTGTGATTGGCTCACCAAATAGATTGCTGTGATTGGCATGACACAATACTGCTCAGGACAGTGGAAGACCTGCTGAGGCTACGATGGAGCGTGGTTACACCAACATGCAGAGCAAAATCCTTTTTCTCCGGCTACTGTCTGTTTAGTATTCTAGACTGGCACAGACGCACAGAACCATAACTGAAAATCAACAATTACTTTTAAAATCTGAGTTCTGTTCATTTCTCATTTAGTCTCTCTTTTGAATATTTGCAGAATATTAGTTCAAACTTCAACATTAGATAGTGAATTTGAGTAAATTTTACAGTTAAAATTATTTGTGATTCTGTGCAAGTAGAATTTGGTTGACAACTTTTACAATGAATAAACAAATGTATATATTTTTTTTAAATCTTAGCATCTTTAAGTTTTCTGGGTTTCCAGTTTACATTTTCATGATAGAAACTAGATATTTTTATTGATGATTTTTTTACAATGTTTAAAATAATTTCTGCCAAAAATTCAGACACCCTTTAAACAAAACAACTGAATGTAGACATTTATATTACTGATCTGTACCATCACATGACCGAATAGGTTTAAAGAGTCAACACTATTGATGTGGACGATTGATGCTTCACTAGATCTCAGATTAAATCTTCTGATTTCATTAACAGGGATTTCCTGGTCCAGAGGGATTAAAAGGAGAGGTGTGTTGAACTAAAAAAAACTTTCTTTATAAAATCCTTCATGACACCTGTAAGAATGTTTGCATTTTTAACACGAGGATAGTTTTCTTGCTAGAAAGGGACAGCAGGAGATCCGGGTCAGAGAGGGCTCGAAGGTCAAGTGGGACGACCGGGACAGCGGGGTCAGTCAGGCCCACCTGGTCCTCAAGGGCCCCAAGGGAACATTGGACCACCTGGGCCACCTGGACCTGAAGGGAGATCTGTATGTTTGACAGAACAAAGAAAAGTTTTGTTTTATCATGACTCTGTGTTCAAAGCCTTTGCTTTACACTGCAGGCGAGCACAATGTCAGACAGCCACATCCGACAGATCTGCAGGGAGATTCTTCAGAGTGAGTTGTCTTGCAGACTGATGAGGTGTTTCTGCACACTAGCGTTTTCTGAAATATTTTCTCTGTTGATTTCAGCCGAACTGCCTTTATTGATGCCTAACAACCAGCAGAGTAGCTGTGTGAGATGTCAAAGCCAGCCTGGATCTCCTGGTCCACCAGGTCCAACTGGGCCTCAAGGATCTAGAGGTTTTCCAGGACTCACTGGCCCCAGAGGTCAACCGGGACACCCTAGTCAGCCTGGGCATCCGGGAGTCAATGGGCTCAAAGGTAAGTTAAGGTCAGTTTACAGGCATATTAGTAAATTATGTTGGTCTAACTACTTGCTTTCACAGGGGAACCAGGTCCCAGAGGTGAAAAGGGGAGTCCTGGCCACGTCGTATTTGGAGACCAAGGACCCCCTGGTCCTCCAGGTGAGTGATGCGATAAGCTCTCAGTCATCCTGTGTTCTTTTTGCTTCTAAAACGAATGATTAGATTACTGATATTCATTAATTATAGCTTCATTTTTTATTCAACAGGTCCCACAGGTCCTCAGGGGTACGGTAAAGCAGGCCCTCCAGGTAATCCCGGACCGCCTGGACAAAATGGAGCTGAAGGAAAAAGCGGCGCTCCTGGCCAACCAGGTGTATGTGACCCATCCATGTGCTATGCCAGCACGATGAGACGGAGTCCCTTCAGCAAAGGCCCAAGCTATTGATGCAATGCAGCACAACAACAGGCACCAATCTGAGGCTGATAACGAACAAACAGCCACTCTCAGGAAGATTTCATCTTTACAGATTCTCTCTGCCTCTGAAACTAAACAGACCTCCTTTGACTCTTTTTTATAAACTTGTACAGTGGGGCAAAAAAGTATTTAGTCAGCCGCGGATTGTGCAAGTTCTCCCACTTAAAATGATGACAGAGGTCAGTAGTTTACATCATAGGTAACTTCAACTGTGAGAGACAGAATGTGAAAAAAATCCTTGAATTCACATGGCAGGATTTTTAAAGAATTTATTTGTAAATCAGGGTGGAAAATAAGTATTTGGTCACTTCAAACAAGGAAAATCTCTGGCTCTCACAGACCTGTAACGTCTTCTTTAAGAAGCTTTTCTGTCCTCCACTCGTTACCTGTATTAATGGCACCTGTTTGAACTCATTATCTGTATAAAAGACACCTGTCCACAGCCTCAAACAGTCAGACTCCAAACTCTACTATGACCAAGACCAAAGAGCTTTCGAAGGACACCAGGAAAAGAATTGTAGACCTGCACCAGACTGGGAAGAGTGAATCTACAATAGGCAAGCAGCTTGGTGTGAAAAAATCAACTGTGGGAGCAATTATCAGAAAATGGAAGACATACAAGACCACTGATAATCTCCCTCGATCTGGGGCTCCACGCAAGATCTCATCCCGTGTGGTCAAAATGATCATGAGAACGGTGAGCAAGAATCCCAGAACCACACGGGGGGACCTGGTGAATGACCTGCAGAGAGCTGGGACCACAGTAACAAAGGTCACCATTAGTAACACACTACAACGGCAGGGAATCAAATCCTGCAGTGCCAGACGTGTTCCGCTGCTGAAGCCAGTGCATGTCCAGGCCCGTCTGAAGTTTGCCAGAGAGCACATGGATGATACAGCAGAGGATTGGGAGAATGTCATGTGGTCAGATGTAACCAAAGTAGAACTTTTTGGTATAAACTCAACTCATCGTGTTTGGAGGAAGAAGAATACTGAGTTGCATCCCAAGAACACCATACCTACTGTGAAGCATGGGGGTGGGAACATCATGCTTTGGGGCTGTTTTTCTGCTAAGGGGACAGGATGACTGATCCGTGTTAAGGACAGAATGAATGGGGCCATGTATCGTGAGATTCTGAGCCAAAACCTCCTTCCATCAGTGAGAGCTTTGAAGATGAAACGTGGCTGGGTCTTCCAACACGACAATGATCCCAAACACACCGCCCGGGCAACAAAGGAGTGGCTCCGTAAGAAGCATTTGAAAGTCCTGGAGTGGCCTAGCCAGTCTCCAGACCTCATCCCCATAGAAAATCTGTGGAGGGAGTTGAAAGTCCGTGTTGCTCGGCGACAGCCCCAAAACATCACTGCTCTCGAGAAGATCTGCATGGAGGAATGGGCCAAAATACCAGCTACTGTGTGTGCAAACCTGGTAAAGACCTATAGTAATCGTTTGACCACTGTTATTGCCAACAAAGGTTATGTTACAAAGTATTGAGTTGAATTTTTGTTATTGACAATACTTATTTTCCACCCTGATTTACAAATAAATGCTTTAAAAATCCTGCCATGTGAATTCATGGATTTTTTTCACATTCTGTCTCTCACAGTTGAAGTGTACCTATGATGTAAATTACTGACCTCTGTCATCATTTTAAGTGGGAGAACGTGCACAATCGGTGGCTGACTAAATACTTTTTTGCCCCACTGTATTTAGGTTGAATGGTTTTCTGATGTTGTTTTGCATTAATATCCGTGTGTGTTTGGACTAGTCTGGAGGTTTTCATGACAGGGCAAAGTGTCTGGTTTGAGTACCTCTCTTCTGAGAGCCTTGAACGCTTGTTATTGTGGCTGGTACACTTTCCTTTACTGCCCCCTGGTGTTGCTTCACTGCATGTTGTTCAATGTCATTACTGCTCAGTCAGTGGGTGCTGCGTGGAATCTAAATGAAACTTCTGCATTAATAACATGTTTAGTCATTAAGATTGCATTGAATTGTGTCTAAAACCTGCATACTTTGGCAGTAAGTCTGAGCTTAGTTTAAACTTAAGCTAGTTGTAACTGTGTGAAGGCCTAAAGCAGCTACATTAAGTACCAGATTTACCAGAGGTAATTGAATAACTTCAGCATCTTTTATTCTTTTATATGTTATGTTTGATATTTAGGATGTTTGAAAATTTGTCATGTATGACTTTTCTGAACCTTTTTTCCCTCAGACTTACTTTTCATTCACATATCAGGTATTTTATTGTTATTTATGAAAGTCATAAATGTGTATTTTCAGTAGTGACAAGTCCTAAAAAACTTTTATAATGTAATTTTATGACTTTTGTATGTTGTATAATTTTTTATACTAGAATTAAAATATAATAATGATTTATCTTTTTTTTCTGAACCATTTAAAACTTGATTTTTCAGACACTCCCACATGTCATATATCACACCCTGTTAGGACTTTTCCCTTAATAATGGCCTAATATCTTTCTAGGATACATTCAACAAGGTGTTGGGAACATGCTTCAGAGGTTTTGGCCCACATGGTTCAGTGATCATCACCATTTGTCAGCTGCACATGCTTGTTCCACCACACCCCAGGTTCCAGACTGCATGGCGTAAGATCTGGTGACTGTGGAGGCTGTTGGAGTCCAGTGAACTCATCGTCTTCAAAGGAAAAAGTTTGAGATGATCTGAGCTATTGGACGTGGTGCGCTATTGTGCTGGAAGTAGCTATTAGAAGATGTGTCCATGAAGGGGTGGGCATGGTCAAGAACAATACTCAGGTAGCCTGTGGTGTTTAAACCAAGCTTCAGTGATGACACCACATTTTGAACCAATCATCTGAATGTTAGCTGAAGTGGAGACCAGGAAATACCGCCCCAACTCTCACATTGTTCAGTTTTTTTTATTTTAATGATATTTTTCTGTTCCCTTGGGAAAAAATCGTTTCTCCATATTTGACACATTCCTGAGAAAAAGTAAAAACTGTCACGTTTCATTATTTTTCCCAAGGATACTTTCACACGTAGCCTGCCATGAGATCGAACCGCTCCCCCCATTCAGCCCCAGAAGACAGCTCAGAGCTGCACTGGTCAGATCTCCTCAGCTTCACTGCGTGAACAAAACGAGTTGAACACTGCTCTGGAGTGTTCAGCAAAACTGCTGCAAACCATGATTTGACATAAAAGTTGGAGGAGAGCTCAAACGCATTCCCCCTCTATTATTATGTTGTTGAGATTTCCATGTTTGGGGAATTTCCAGAGGTCAATACCACCAAGATGGAATAGCCAAGCCTCACCTTGGGTGAGCCGCCTTCATGATCTTGGGATGTCCTCTACCAGTTCGGGTGATACTGTGTGAATTACAACCCCAGTCAGGTCTTTCATTGTCTAAAACTGCTGGATTTTTTCTTTTTCTTCATTTCCTATGACCAGTTTCTGCAAACCCAGATGGTTGTGGAAGAAAATCCCAAATAGGCATTCTCTGGAAAAAATCTACACACCAACCATGTCCCATTAAACATCACTAAACTCATTTATTTTCTATTTGGATGCTCTGTTTGAAATAATCTAGATGCCTGCAGATGCTTCCATGTGATTGGCTGATCAGGTATTTGTGTTATTAGGCACTTAAGCAAGCATAACGAATGTGTGTGTTGCATTTCCTTGAACTCTGTGCCACATCACTGGTATGGTGTCAGTAAATGAAACTTTGAGGGCAGGTTGTAAAATGTTTGAGTAATTTGAGTGAACACTGGGTGGCGCAAAAGAGCCATAAAGTGTGAAAGAAACTTGTCTTTTTTTTTTCTTTGACTTTTTCTGACAGCAGCCACTCATCACCCTTCAGATGAGCACTCTCAGTCAGGGGAGGAGGCGGCCGGCTGTGAGCTCCAAGGGTGGAAATCCAATTTCAATTTTTTTGGGGGACAATAAACTGTAAAACTTCAGAGAGTAATTTTTTGGGGGGGACATGAAAAAAATGCTCTCTACATACAACACTGTATGTCCTTATAAGAGACTGACCTGAGACTCTGTGCCTGTGCTCAAGTGACTGGACTTTGCCTAATGAAACCATTTAGAAACAATTTCATTTCTTTCTTATAGAAGTCTTTATCAAAATGCAAGTTTCTACTTACTTGACGTTCTGGAGCATTAAAAAACGACCTGATGTCTGCCGTTTTTCGTTTCTCTGCCATTTCAACTGACCTGGTCTGCTGACAGTTGGAAGCAACACACACACACAGATGGGATATTGTCATTAGAACGGAGCTGGAGGATATTGATCAACAATAATATCTTGCCAATTTTGTACATCTCCATAAGCATCCTTTCTTTTTGTTTTCATTTCAATAACAAGACTGTGGACCAAAACGGAATAAGCAATTCAGAATAAAGATTTAAAAGTAGATCGTTAATAGTTGAAGCAACATGTCCTGAAATGACACGGCTATTAGCTGACCAACAGCTACACGTGTGGACGGATGCAAAGCATTAATTTTAAGTACTAAAACATATCTAACTTTTTCACAACAAAGTGAGAGAACATAAATGTCAAATTAAAATTTTATTAAATCACATAACATGAAAGCTACTAAAATCCAAATAGTTCCATATTGATTTTAATATATTTGAAAATTTCCTTCTAAATATGTCTAGAAAAAAATAACAAACTTCAAATCAGCTTTCACAAGTCAAGTATCAAAATGACTGAAATCTCTTTAATAAATCATAGAAATGTTTGTAGGCTATTAGAGAATAACTCTGTAATATTTAATAACTTTATCTAAGTCCTACTGAACGAAAAGATACACAAAATCTAAAAATGTATTCTTGAAATATTTGTTTCATTTTAATAATAAAAATTAAAAACATTTACTTTACAAATACACTAAACATATACATACTCTATAGTTTATCTTTCAGTTTAACCGACCTCTCACTTTTCTCAGTTTTCATAGTGTTTTTGGGTCCGTGGCCAACGGGATCTTTGGCTCTATGTTTTACACTGAGAGCTTTGAGCAACGTGCCTCCACCACACATTTGCTGCAACCGGTTCATCCCTAAACTGCACGGTAAACCTGCACTTTGACATATTGTGAACAACTGCAGAGCCTGGGGAAGACGGGATAAGAGCGGTTAAACGCTGTGGTTTTCCATACATCGGACCAGTTAGTTTTGATTCTACCATATTCATCTGCTAAATAGGATGAAACGCGGACATTTTCATCGATCTATAAATGCTCCGCAGATTCCAGGGGCAGACCATGAAAGCGTACGTGTCCGGAAAAAGGAACTTTTGATCACCTTAGTGAATGGAATAATAATAGTGGAATAATCCTGGAATGACCAGAGAACATGAAGTGACAACAATTTTTTTTACTGTGGTGGTGGTGGTCTGTCATAAAGGGATCTCCGACCGGTGATCAAAATCTAAAGATAATTGGTGTCTATGTTTGACATTTATGACCACATTTGACATACATATTCAAGTTTGTAGAACAAGCGTGTGATAAATGACTTACTGCTGGAAACCGCTGGCTTTTTGATTCCCGCCTCCTGTGAGTCTGCAGGCTGCTGTGAAGCTGTGAGCGGGTCAGAGCCGGCAGCCCCGCCCATTGGAAATAGCGCGTGTGGACCGACCGTACCAACTTGAGGAAATGGGGGGGTGGGGGGTGGGTGGACTATAATTTCTCAACAATTAAAAACACATTGTTTTGTATTTGCAGACTAACTTTTACGTTGTGGTTTTAGAAGACAATACAGGTTTACCGATAGCATTTATGTGTTTACAATAACTTTTGTGGGGGGGACAACTTTGTGTGAGGGGGGGACGCTTCCCCCCGTCCCCCCTGGGATCTCCGCCTATGGTGAGCTCTGTTAGATAATACTACTGTTAATAATAATGGATTGGACTTATTTAGCACTTTTCAAGGCACTCAAAGTGCTTTCCAATTATTCATGCACTCACACATTCACACACCGCTGGTGATGGTAAACTACTATGTAGCCACAGCGGCCCTGGGGAGGTCTGATAGAGGCGTGGCTGCCCTTTGCACCATCAGCCACTCTGACCACCACCAACAGAGGCACATTTGTGAGAGAGCATTAGTAAGTACATTTTATTTATATAGCACTCATCACACACATAGAATCACAAAGAGAGGCACGTAGATCAAAATAAAATAAAACATAAAGTCATAAAATCATAATGATCTTAAAACAGAAATAGATTAAAATCAGAAAAATTCTGTCATTAAATTATAAAATATCATAAAACAAATGAAAGATGATTACAAACTTGAGTTAAAGAGACAATATGTAGTTTTTACTATGAATTTCTGGAAATATCTATCAAAACATTGTTGAAAATGAATGAAATGAAACCCAGTTAATGGAAAATATTGGCGGCTTTGTAACATATAACCATAAAAATCAGGTCTACAATGCATGACAGTGGGTCTAAGTCTCTGGGCGACACCATGGGTGTGTCCGAATCTGTGGGAAGGATGCCCACATTTCGAGGACGGGTCGGTTATATCCTCACAGAACAAGGCTATCCTAGCATGCTTTGGATTTTCAACAGGAAGAGAAAATGGGGAGAGCTACAAAGTTTTAAACGTAAGTTTGTTAAAAACTAGCCGTAGAAACCTAAAAAGCTTAAATCAGTTCAGTTTATAGACATTCTTCGTTTGTATATTTGTTTTTTAAATTACATTTTGGGCAGAAATCAGCCAGAAAGTGTTTGTTTCGCGGGTCCCAGTTATTCGTGTGTGTGTGTGTGTGTGTGTGTGTGTGTGTGTGTGTGTGTGTGTGTGTGTGTGTGTGTGTGTGTGTGTGTGTGTGTGTGTGTGTGTGTGTGTGTGTGTGTGTGGCGAATTAAACTTGTCATTTGTTTTAAGGACAACGGAGCAAATAAGCATTTTTATTAAGCTTAGAGGTGAAGAGTGAAGCTGTTTACACACACAACCACAGAAGTTCTTCTGTGAAAAGTAGTTTTACATTCAGGGATTTACACAGCAGACACGTTTTAATGAAGTAAAAAGTTTGTGTGAAGAATATAATTTTTATCTTCTCATGTGAATAAATGTAAAAATGTGTTTATTGCCTTTTTGTCACCTGTGGCCTGATTTTCTCTGTAGGACTGCAGGTCAGGAGAGGCTTTATCTGGTGGTCCTCCTGGGAGAGAGGCCTTCTACTGTCATCATGTTAATGTTATTTAACTGTTAGTATTTGCTTTAATAAATGTGTTCAAATATCAAACTGATAACTCTTTCTGGTCATTGATTTTATCACCAGTTTTATTATTACAGATGTTTTTGAACATGTTATGTGAACAGAAAATGAAAAGATGGTAAGGAGACAAGATTATTTATAATACATTACACTTATTTACAGATCAAAACCAGTATGGACCAGTTTTGCACGGTGAAAGCAGGATTAACCTGAGTGACTCTTCCTGGATCATTTATTTAAATTGAGTGAGCAGGCAGTCTTTAACAGTGCAGCTGGATCTGCTGCAGGAGGATCCAGGCGTGGATGGAGGGCTGAAGCAGACCCGTGGCTGGACGTTTCTGGCCAGAGGAACATCATACAGGATGGTCTGCAGAGAGAGCTTTGGGATGCTTCCTCTCACTGTCCACTCCATCGTCCATCTACAGGGACTGCTGGGAAATGAGGAGATGGTTTATGGATCCACTGGTATAACAATTGTGACTCTTCAGCAAAGAAAACCACAGTGTTGTTTTTAATAGAGGTATACATAAATGACTTGCCTGTTAACAGTAGTGGTGGTCTGCTGGTACCTTCTCCAGGACAGAGCACCGCTGACCTTCCCCACACACATCCCCCTCAGGCTCATCCTCCAGACCCACAGCTTCACCAGCACAGAGACAGATGTGCAGCACAGTGCATGCTGACCTGTAATAGATAAAAAAAAAAGAGTTTTTTTTTATTATTGTAAAACAAAACATATAACCTGCAGTACACTGGTTCTGTTCAGTTTAAACAAAAGCAGCAGGGAAAACTACAGAGAATTTACATTTTTAAGACAAATCTAATCATTATTAGGCTTCAGTTGAATAAACAAATGTACATTGAAAACACTTCAATTTCTATTTTATTAAAAAGCCTGTTTTAAAAAAAAACGTTTTACCCCCCATTTGATGCAAAATAGGAAGTTCTAAGGTCCAGTTTACATTAGAAAACATTCTGCTGCATTCAACATTTATAATGCATTTAATTACCTACATGATAACACTCTGTAGAAATGTGTTATGTACGTTTAACAAGTTCATTCTGTAGCTTAAAACATACATGAAACCATCTAAGGTTAACATGGAAGTCCTGAAAGCTTCTAGAATAAACAAAATTACTTTACCTGAAAACGGTGGTGAAAAAACGCTGCTGATGGACGTGAAGCTGCTGTAGCTCCTTAATATTCCTGCTCGATTTTTGCTAGATTTAGCATTTTTCCTTTGCGTGTAGCTGCTGCCACGGCTGTGACGGGACCTACGGGCCACCGTAGAGGTGAAGGCTAGACTGTCCGAATTCAGAGCCGCTGGGTTGCGGTCTGGCCTTGCTAGACCGGCGAGGACCCGTACTCATAAGCATCCTACTCGTGGATTCGGACACACCCCATATTAGATGCCATGTTTCCTTCTATGGGAGCCCATGAGCTCCCGGGGGGCTGGGTCCCGGGCAGCTGGCTTGGAGGTGGGAGGCTGCAGGGGAGCCTGTGGGCTTGCTGCTATTATCTCCCAGAACTCTACCGGCTGCTGGTTGTAGCCCCGCGGGACAATCCTCTGCATCTCTCGAGGGGGAATGGGGCTTTGGTTGCAGTCTCCCTGGGGTCCCTGTGCTCTGGGTCAACTCCTAGATCTCTGGGACTTGGAGCTCCCTCCATCTTCTACGCATCTTTGGGGGCAGATCTGTGGACCCGCACACTCTCTATTGGACGCTCCCATAGCCTTACATATACAAGTGCATATACGCACATACTGTAGGTGCTTGCATGGTGCTCTCATAAGTATGGACTTGGGCATTTTCAACATGTCCTTTCAACTTGCTCTTGTTGTATTGTTGTGTGTCCCTTTTTTTTGTTTGTTTGTTTGTTTGTTTTTCTCTTTCTGCAGGTCTAGAAGCAGACCCTTGTTCATCATTGATTGTTTATTTTTGTGTTGTCAGTGATGAAAGGGAGTCTGATGTGCTCGTTATTTTTGCTGAAGTTTGCACTCTCCAGGGCTTAATGGGCATCTGTTGGTAAGGTCTTACTCCAACACAAAAATGCTGCTTGCTTGCAACGATTTAGGTATCTACTGCCCCCTTATCACTAAGAAAAATACACACTGTCACTTTAAATATAAGAAAACAAAATATTTATGGAAAAGCAGCTTTAATAACAAACATTGTCTTTAAGTATTTCAAATTTCAGTATATAAATACAACAATAAAATAACAGAAATGTAGTTGGAGTTGTTTCAGATTGAACAGTTTTTGACAAGTTTCAAATTGTAACTATTTTTCAAAAACTACTTTGATCTTAGTTATCTGTTTCAAAATGACATAAAAACATCTTCTTTTCACTTCAGCTCCACATCTCTAAGCTAAATGATCACATAAAATCTGCTTATCTGCCCTCAGCGGGGGTGGGGGTGGGGGGTGGGGGGGGGGCACAAGAGGGGTCCAGGGTGGCACTGGCCCACCCTAGATCTCCATAGAACCGCCCCTGTTGTCAGTAATATGCTATTCCTATTTCACTTTATTTATATTATGCCCATTTCCCAAACTATTTAAGGAAATTATTTTCTGTATGAAGGTTCTTTCTGTCTTCTATTTGAAATGAGTTGTAGGCCTATTTTTCACTGGACATGACTCAGCTGTACATTTTTTATTCAATGTTTTCATCTTAACTGATATTTAATGTTTGCTGGAGATTTATTTTAAACTTTCTCTCCCACGTTGGAGTCCTTACAGTAACGGCAAACTGCAACCAAAGTCCTCTCCCATAAACACGCAGACTTCAATAACTTGCGGTGATTAAAAGGCTCTGTCATTCGTCTTTCACTCGTTAAGACGGGCTCTCGGATTTCAAGTGTCTCCTTTTACACCCCTGAGCCGCCACATTCATCATGGGGACCGAGCTGAAGGTTTTTTGCGGCCGCTAGAGGAGGATGCAAAAACAAAAGTTGAGTGTGGGATGGACCCGAAGGGTAACTATACCCAATAGACTTTAAAAAAATACGAGCAAAGGCACGAGTCGATGTTTCTCTCCTCGTTTTTGACACAGTTCACCACATTTCATCCACTTGGAAACGTATTATTCCTCCACGTCCTGGGCGTACCTAGTTTTTTTTTTCATGACAGGGGAGTAAGGTGAGGGACGGGGTCACAGCGCCATAAATACTCGGAAACTCTCTGGATACAGCCTGAGCAGCCGCGCGCGAAAAGGTGCGCTGTTTTTATCCCCGCACATTTGAACTTTTTACCGCAAGTTGATCTTCTTCTGGGAAATGATGCATTTTCACGTGCAAAACGTCTGAATATGTGTTTTTTCCCCGCCCGCACTGCGATGTAGTTCATCACAAAGTGAGATATTTGTCAGGATGCAAGCGCGTTCCGCTCCCAACTGCGCCGTTCTCGCACTTGCGTGGAGCACTTTGACTTTCCTCTCCTGCGCTTTTTGCGGTCTGAGTGACAACCATGTGCACTCCAGTTTTATTTACAGGCGGTTGCGCAATCACGAGCGCAGGGAGATCCAGAGAGAGATCCTTTCCATCCTGGGCTTGCCTCACCGGCCGAGGCCCTTCTCTCCCGGGAAGCAGGCGTCCTCCGCGCCGCTCTTCATGCTCGACCTCTACAACGCCATGGCCGTGGAGGAAGAGGAGTTGCACAGGGGCGCAGGGAAGAGCTTCGGTGCCAAGGCCCAAGGGCACTCCAGGAAAAGTTACTACAACCCACAGCACGCGGGGTACACCCGTGTGGCACAGCCGTACCGAGCGGCCCCTCTGCTGGGCCACAGTCCAGCTGTCAGCACGGCGCACGACACCAGCTTCCTCAATGACGCTGACCTGGTCATGAGTTTTGTTAATTTAGGTGAGTCTGATTGATCCGAAATATCATAAATCACAATTTCCCTTTTTATTGTCCAGTTTGTCCTTCTAAGCTCCTTAACACAACTTTATTATTTAGTCTACATTCAAATATTTAGTTATAAGGACTAAAACGCTGTTTTCTCCGCCTGTTCAAGTTGCTTAATCAATTATCCTGTCAAAAATAATTTAAACAGCGTCGTCAGAATGAAAAAGAAAATATCTCAAACATATTTAGTTTTACTATCAAAAACATTTTTTTCTCAGTGTTTCTTCAGAGTAGCTGAGAGGCTTTGTGTGTGTGTGTGTGTGTGTGTGTGTGTGTGTGTGTGTGTGTGTGTGTGTGTGTGTGTGTGTGTGTGTGTGTGTGTGTGTAAAATACTTTTCTACTTAACTCAATCAAGCTCAGTATTTGTCAGTTTTGTGCTGCTTTCCATTAAAAAGCCAGTTGATGTGGATAATGATTGTATTTGTTCGGTAGCGGTGACCTCTTGACCCGGCAGTTCAGAGCAGCTTATCAGATGACTGTCTGACCTTGAGAAAATTGGTTTCAATTATTTCCTGTTGTTAAAAGGGGAGTGATATTGATGGATGTGAGGGTCTGTCACCATTACGGAGCAAGCTCTGAAGCCTTGTTCCTCTTGTTTGAAAGCATCAGGAGAATTCAAATGTTAAACATGTCAAAAATAAACTAAACAGCAGCTAGAAGTGAATCGCTAAATCATAACCACTGAAACATATAATCATCAGACTCAAAATCAATGTTTGTGTTGTGGTTTTTTTGAGGGGATTTTATTTACTTAAAATAGAGAGAAACATGTAAAAGTGAATCTGGGTGAAACGTTAATCCCTCACCTTGGTTTGTGGCCATCTGTTTCCACTTACCGCCACACCAGGGCATGTACACTGTCAGCCTTGAATGCTCTGCTCTCAATCTAGGGACTGTCAGTGAACTTCTCAATGGGGCTCTGTCTTTATTACAGTATACGCTCAAATAGGGCGACTGACCTCAGCGGTTTTACAAACATCTATACGGCCTTTCCTGCAGTTTATTATGTTTACTGTAACCGCAAGAATGTGTAACACCAAGACGGGATAGAGTGGGTAAAAGCACAAAGAAAATTGGATATTAGAGCATCTTTTGAAGAATAAAGCTTGTTTTTACCTTTGCTGACGTGTTTCGGCGTCCTCTCCTCAGAGCAGGTTGCTCTGACGAAGGCAGCAGAGGGCCCGAAAACATGTCAGCAAAGGTAAAAACAAGCTTCACTTGCTCCTTGTATGATGAAAACCCAGAAAAATGAAAGTGGATTTAAAAAAAACACAGAGCAAACGTAACAAAGATCTTTTGATGAACTTTGCATAATCGTTGTAAAACAAGCTGGCTTTAATTGAGATGCACCCAGGTGGGTCCAAGCAGGGAGTAAAGCTATTGAATCTGTTTGAAAGTTAAAAGCTCTTGGCTCTCAGTGGCACTTCTGCTTCAGATTACAGTCTGTGGCTAATTTAATAGAGCCCACTCAGTGGGTAAAAGTCAGCCCTGGCCTCTGACTTGTTTGTGCTAAGTAACCGCAGGCGTCCTCTGTTGATAAAACATCAAGAAAGCAAACGGCGTGATATCACATAGAACATCCGCTGACCTCAGTCTGAAACATCTAAGGGAGGGCTGTTGGAACTATTTAGTTTATCATTTTGTTTGATGTTATTTTCATGTTTTATTCCATCTATAAAAATAAAATCAGACCTTTAAAGGGGATGCGTTCCATTACTTATTTCATTAGACAGATTTAGTCGTAAATCTGGAAGAACACGGAGTGGGTCTTTTGGGATTTTACCACCAGAGGTGAGTGGCAGGTCAGAAATGAGGTCAGGGCGAACCTTCACGTGGCGCTGAAGATTCCTGTCTGGTCTTTCCTCTCGCTTAAGGAGCAGAAGAAAGTTTCTTTAATTGAAATCAGCCTGTTTTTCTTAACTGACAGCCCATTCATCATAGTAAGGCACACAGTAGAGGGCCTGTCTGGGAACTGCTACCTGTACTCAGTTGACTGATTTAATGAACTGGAAAGTGCTTTTGTTGGTCCTTTAACTGTTTGGATTGGAAGCTGAATGGAAAAGAAGATGTGATAAATTAACCTCTTTTTCTGTGCATTAACTCTGGTTCAGGAGGTGAACTCGGATGTATTTTCATTTATATTGAATCTCTTTGGCATTAAGAGATGAGATCATCATCTCATATTTTCTTTCCTAGTGGAGAAAGATAAAGACTTTTCTCACCAAAGAAGACACTACAAGGAGTTTCGTTTTGACCTGACTCAGATCCCAGACGGAGAGGCAGTGACGGCAGCGGAGTTCAGGATTTATAAGGACCAGAGTCACGCGCGCTACAGCAACATCAGCCTGAAAGTTGTGATTTATCAAGTCATCAAGGAATATCAGAACAAGTAAGTGATGTTGAACACTTCAGGTGTGTCTTCAGCTCTGTGCTGATTAGTGGCAGAGGAGTTAAGCATCCACCCGGTAATCGGAAGGTTGCAGGTCTGAGCCCCGCTCAGTCTGTTGCTGTCATTGTGTCCTTGGGCAAGATTTAACCCACCTTGCCTGCCGATTGTGGTTGGAGGTATCGGGGGCGCTTGTGTACGGCAGCCTTGTCTCTGTCAGTGAACCAGTGAACCCAAGGGCAGGTGTGGCTACACTGTAGCTCATCAGCACCAGGGTGTGCATGTGTGTGTGCAGGGGTGAATTAGAGGCCGACCGATATGGTTCTTTCAAGGTCGATGCCAATACTTATTTTTAAAGAATTTTGTTGCTGATGGCCAATATCTAAAACCAATTGTTAATGCTGATATATATTTATATACATTTTAGCAACACATTGATTGTGAAAGACAACTGAACAGTCACTGTGTGCAGTGTTAATTAAATAAGTCAATAAATCTCTTAATATTAATTTACCTTCAAATATAAAACTAACTCAAAACATTAAAAAACACACGTGTTGGGGTCCTTCGGGTCCTTTCTTCAGTCTAGTAGTGACTGAAGGTGGCCGCACAGGTGCCTGATTTTTTAATTTTTTTTAATCGGCTCTTAAAAACTATTTCGGACGATGGCCGATATAGAAAAAAATCGAATATATTGGATGTAAAGCACCTTGGGGGGTTCCAGGACTCTAAAGTTCACTACATAAAATCTAACATTTAGTGCAACATCAAGAGGTCTTAAAAGGCTCACTTCAAGTCCAGTTCACACAGCAGGATTGTTATAACGATTTTGACCAGCCCCTGTCCTTCTAACAATCTTAAAGTTGTGTATGATTGCTGTAATGGCTCTAAAGATAATCTTATCAGATAATCATACCTTTTGTTGTGTGTTAAGCCTAGGACTGCTCCATCTTCAGTGTTATGGAGACACTACGGCATGGTACCAAGAAGCAAGGGCTCTGTGGCAGAGGGTGACAGAGAGACATGCCTGATTTTTTTAAATTGTCCATTTAATGCAATGGAGAGTGCGAGCCTGTGATTGGTCAGCATGCTTCTTTCTTTAAATTCGTCAACAGCACCAACATTCTCCAAAAAAGGTGTTAAAGATATCTAGAGACAAACACGGAGCAGATGTAAGAACGTCTGGCGGAAGAATCCAACGATATAAACATTTATAACCTCCATTAAAGGAGTACAAAGAGATTTTTCATCCATGGAAGGAAATTACAGGAAACATGGCTTTGGAGGTGGCGACCGCATGAAGAGGTGGAGGAGAATAAGTGACAAAATTGTGCGTGTTAAAAAGTCTCTGAAATACATTTAAATACACAATGGTGAATACAATATCAGAGACATGTCCCCCCTCCCGAGAAAAGCACTACGTTCTCTGTTTTCCTGGTGGGGAATGGCTTTACAACACTCCCCAGTGTGTGGAGAAGTCTGAAATGAAGATGCTTCCATCAACACGTGTGCGTGACTCCACATCCGAACGGACAGAGAAGCATAAATTAGGTTGTATGAACGCTCCGATCACTCTGGAAGAATGTCAGGACTGCTCCGATCATAAATTCAGGCTTTCCAACACGTTGGATTGTCGGTCTGATTTTCAGGGACAAATGAACAATCTGCTAGCTAATCAGAAGGTGAGGTGACTGAAGCATGTTGAACGCTACTCCTACGCCATGTTTTTTTACTCAGAAGTCACGTTTTATCTTACAAGATTTGCTGTCTAAGAAGGGAATTTCCATGAGTGAAAATGGTTTGTGTGTAAACGACATTTGAAAATCCTGCCGTGTGAGCTAGCCTTAACTCATTCACTGCCAGCCGCTTCCTGATCAGTAAAGCCATTCGCTGCCAGCGTTTGTCACCGTTTTTACTGTTTTTTTAAAGAGTCACAGAACATTGTGCTGTAGGATGATGTTGACGCCAAAACAACCGAAACAAAGAGTAGACTCACCTCTTACATCGGGAAGAATCAGCGCGTTTCGAGCGTTAACCGTTCTTTCATAATCCATTGTTGAATTGTGAGCTGCAGAAGCTTTTCCGGTCCGCTCCTCACTTTTATTACAGCAGCGGCCCTGAACGATCTCCTAACACGTGGATTTTCTGTTTCCTGATCACGTGACGTGTGACATATGTGGATGAAGATCGGCTTTAGAGCTGAGATGTTTGTTCTCACGGTGCGGGGGCTCGTTCCGACGCCCACACATCAAAAAAATGCAAACGACGACTTTAGTCGTCAATGGCAGTGAACGGTTGAATTTAAAATGACGACTTTAGTCGTCAATGGCAGTTAATGAGTTAAGACAAAATACACAAGAAACTAGACGACTTGTACACATGGAGAAAAACATTCTAAGGTAATTTGTTACATTTTAATGAAGAATAAAATGTTTGGTTTGTTTACATGAGGGGGGTAAAACCTATACTGCAGCCGACCACTAGGGGGAATTATGGCTGCTATCAACTTCAACTGGTTTGGAAAAAATTCATATGAAGAACATTGCAAAATACCTTTTTAAATGCAGGCAAATCCACAAAATTCATTCTTTTGAGTTGTTGGGAAAAGCACTTCCATTTACTTCCCTCTTGATGGTAAAAGTAAGGCAAAGTACTCACAACCTGTGCCTTATTTCACATTTGCAAAAGGCAAATACTTCAACAGCCATTGTCCTTTCTGCCTCCAACGGTCATCCTTCTATCTGAAACTCTGCTCTCCCTCATTGGCACCCCGTCTGCTTTACAAATATAGTTCTTGGATAAAGAGAACTCCATTAGCAACGTGGACACTTATGTGACCTGGAAGGTCCATCAGTTATCACTCGTCTTGTGTTGCCTGCCAAGCGGGCCGCGTCCTAGCAAAAACCACCAGGGCCCACATCAGAGGGGGAGGAGAGGGGGCTCTCTTGGGAGATCCTGTGCTCACTGTTATGCCCGCCACCTGCCTGCCTTAACAATATTCTGAAAATTTAAAGCACGACATAGCTGAATACACTAGGGAGTACTTAAAAGTGGGCCCACATTTGCTTGCCAAAAATGTGTGTGGGTGATTGAAGGGAAGATATGGCCCTCCTGGGCTTTGAAGAGGTCCAAGTCAATGGACTTTGCCTTCTTAAAGGGGAAGAATGTTCAGTTCATGTTTTCACACATGTTTTCACCAAGAATAGCTATTTTAGATTGGTGTTCTCAAACAGGAGCAAGACATTCCCATCGCTTCAAGCTCACCGAGTTCATTTCATGTCACCAGTTCTTTGTTTTTGTTCTACTTGAAACATACGTATGTTGAATGCTGTATGGTATATATAAAATGTTTGTTGAAGTCTAAAACTAGTTTATTATTTTATAATTACTGTGCTTTGGCTGTAGTTTCTGTCACAGGAAGAAACGGTGAAAACAAATAATTTCGTCCCTTTTAATCTGGTTTTGAATTTTGTTGCTGAATAAAAAATGCTAATATAACTAAATGTCATATTTTGCCTTTGGATGCGACTTTAAAGGTGTGGAACACTCATTTAATCAAGACATTTGTAGGTGGTCTTTAGTACGAATTAATGCCTTGTAAGTCATACTTAGGGAGAAAAACTGGTGCACCATTTCCAGGAAGTAGAAGTGAGCCACATCACGTGAGCTTCAGATGGAAAGATTTGGAATCTTATTTCCTGATTTTTGGACATCTCGCCCCGGATTGAGTGACAGTAACGCAACTCAACCACTGACTTGCAACGTTGATGTTCTCAACAAATAACACAAGTTTGAAGAAGTTCTGCCATTTGGTGGGGTTGCTAATGCTAACGGTTAGCTTCTACTATGCAAGACATTCTCTGCTGTTTTCTGGACGCTAAGCCAACAACATCCTTCCCCCTCACGAGCCAAGATGAGTGAGTCCATGAATGTTAAGTAATTTGTCAAGCTCCTCCTATACTTACACCATTTATTTTCTATCCGAAGCTAATGCAGGAGATAGGTGTAGGAGACTACTTTCATGTTCAGCCTGTGTGAAAAACTCAGAGTGACTGTTTATAATCTGAAATAAGATTTTAAAAGTGTTTTGCAGTGTTACACACCTTTAATGACACCAGATCACCACAAACTTCCTTCCTACATGCGGTTGCGGGGTCTATAATGTTACACAGAAACAAATCAAATTACTGCACAACGTTTGAAATTGTGCCTTTCAAAAGAGGAAGTTCAGCAGCGGTTCCTTCATAAGAATTAATCCAGAGTTTTATTTCATTTATAATAAACACATGAACTATTGAGGACACATGGAAAAACCTCGAATGCCCCCGACCGGATAGATGTAACCACAAAAACCTAATAGCTGTTGCCTAATCCCATCCGCCGCTTGAAGGCAATTGAGTTGATTGGCGCCTTGTGTCAGGCCTTTGAGCAAAAAATACACACAAGTTGACACATACGATTCATAACTACTCACATGTTTTGTGCAGATCTTGGCACACATTTCACCACAAATTTTCAGCTTTTTTTGGTACACATCCAGGAAACAAAAGTGATCACATTGATTTACTGGAGTCCTTAAGAAATAGATGTTTAGCTTTAAAAAGGTCAAGACCTTTAGCCATAATCGTTTGTCTGTTTTAGTTCATCTTAACTTTTCTGTTTTTCTTTTACTTTCAGAGACGCTGAGACATTCTTTCTAGACTCCAAAAAGGTCCAGGCGTCTGATGGGGGGTGGTTAGTGTTTGACATAACAGCCACCAGTAACCACTGGGTGATGAACCCACAGCAGAACTTTGGTCTCCAGCTCTGTGTGGAGACTATAGATGGCAAGTGAAGCTTTTTCTTTCCACAAAGTTTGTTTTTCACTTTAGAGTCCCTCAAATTTACTTTATTGAACAAAATAGTCAAGTGGCTTATATTTTTAGACAATCAGTTGCGTCTGCTAACAACCTTTTTCTTAAAAAAGTCTTGAGTTTAGCACAGAAAGCAAAGCCTGAAGTCTGAAAAAAATAAATCAAATGACTTTTTGCATCATCTGACTAAGAACTCGCAATGGACTTAGTCCTAAATGAGCCATTTCTTTAATTGCTGTTTTGAAAGTTGTATTTATTTTCTGTTTTTGTAAAGGAAGAAGTATAAACATAAAATCTGCAGGAATCATCGGGAGGAACGGGCCGCAGTCCAAACAGCCGTTCATGGTTGCTTTCTTTAAGGCCAGTGGGGTGTTGCTTCGCTCTGTCAGAGCTGCCAACGGGAAAAAAAAAACCCACAATCGCAATAAATCTAACAACCAACAAGAATCAATGAGAACGCCAAAACCTGGAGGTATGTGCAATAAATCAGGAAGTGTTTTATTTAATAACTGCTCATTTCACCTGTAATTGTTGAGTTGAAAATATGTAAGAATGTTTACTCATTGGTAAAATTCCATACTTCTGAGCTGATTTTTGTGATATCAAACATGCAATAATGGATAAAGATGTAGAACAAGGTAATAAAATTCACACTCTCAGAAAATAAATATTAAAATAACCAAGTTATGTCAACTGGTCCCATTAAACCTAGTTGCTTAAATGTGAATAGTAATATACATTGGTATATGTTGTTATGCTAAAGTAACAGAGCAGTTTCCTACTCCTCCACCCTGCTGGTTGAGAGTGGAATTACAACTGTCGAAAACATCCCAGCTATAGCTAGTGGTAACAACGAGCTGACGCTAACATAAGGCAGCTAAAACTAAAATAAACCACAAAGTAAAAAGATCCACACTGTTGGACAAACAAAAGTATTACTCACAAGTCCAATAGCAACAAAGCCAGGTCATCATCAGTCTGATTAGTAGCCTCCATTTGTCAAGCTGCGAGCGCAGGAGGATTGGACCCAAAGCTCAGAACACCACACAACTCCAGGCTAGAGAGACTGTATAAATAAAGACTCCTTTTATTTGGATGATTAACTAAAAGGCAAAACTGCAGGACTCTTAAGTCAAAATTCTAACGTTCAAAAAGTCGAAAACAAAAGCTGTCTCATGAGCCAGAGTCTATAGTCACAACGCTGACAAAAGACAATGAACCGACAAACACTGGAGACACAGACAGGGTTATGTACACAGGGCTGGGAGATAGGAGACGAGGAGCAGGTGCGTGGGGAATTGGGCACATGGGAAACCAATAAGTAAATGAATGATCTGAAGTGGCGAAGGGAACACACACACACACTAAAGGAGACCAAAGAACTGAGATCATAAACCTATAGAAAACTACAGTGGAGAGACCAAGAGAACATGAGGAAAACCTGGAGGGAGCTGGGGACAAAAAGGGCTGGGGACTACAAGGACACAGAACAGGAGGGGACACCTTGAGGGGGCTGGGAACCAAAGGGACACAGAACATGACACCTTTATCTCCCTCAAACTAAAGAACGTGGTTTTGTGAGAAGAAAACAGTCAGACGATCTAGAAAAAAGTTCAGGCAGCCCACCTTAGTACATGATTACTAGGGAGAACTAAATAATGAATCTAAATACAATTCCTACTTTTAGTTTACCTCTTCACATGTTTTATTGTTTTGATAGTATGATGTCATTTCCTGTCATGTTCAAAAATATTACTTCACATTATACAGATTTGAAAGAAAAAGAACGATCTTATATATAGCGCCTCTCGAGATAAAAATCACAAGGTGTTTTGTTTACTATATTAGTACTGAGAGGCACTTTTCAAACAGTATTTTTCAATAATTACTGTTATTAAAATATATAGTTTTACTGATCCAAAGTGTGGAATGTGAATTTTTCGCATTTCTTTACAGTTTCAAGTAGGTGTAGTTAACATTTCCTTTTCAGAGGTTGAAAATTATTTCACCAGACAAAAAATGCATATACTTTAGTCTACTCAAATAAGAATACAATTAAAAGATATTAGATGACTAAATTGTAAAAGACTAAGACAAAATATAAATTACAATTTCTTGTCAAAATTAACACTTATCGAGAGTTGACTTGGCATAGGCATCTGGTTTGGATGCTTCCTGGACGCCTCTCTGCGGCTTTCTGGGCACGTCCAACTAGGAGGAGACCCAAGGAAAGACTCAGGACACGCTGGAGGGACTGTGTCTGTCATCTGGACAGGGAACGCTTTGGGATTACTCTGTAGGAGCTGGGCCAAGTAGCTGGGGAGAGGGAAGTCTGGGCCTTTCTTCTTAGACTGCTACCCCGAGACCCAACCCTGCATAAGCGGATGAAAATGGATGGATGGATATGTTGTAAATCAGCACCCGTTCTTCTTTCATCTCTTAATTTTTGTTCATTTAATAATCTTATAGATTTGAACACAAGTGAACAGAAGCAAGCCTGTAAGAAACATGAGCTTTACGTCAGCTTTCGGGACTTGGGTTGGCAGGTAGGATTCTGTAATTTAACATTTTATGCAAAATGTTTAACATAAACAAAATACAATGTGGGGACTGGAGAAAAACCATTTTTATCATAAATTATAAAATGAATTTATTGTTTTGTTTGTTTATTTGTAAAGGACTGGATTATTGCACCAGAGGGGTATGCTGCTTTTTACTGTGATGGCGAATGCTCATTTCCGCTCAACGCTCACATGAACGCTACAAACCACGCAATTGTGCAAACCCTAGTGAGTATCATTAAGAGGTGATTGCACCTATATGTTGTCAACAATCATATTAACCTTCTAATATTCATATCATCAAAATGTGGACTTCTTTGTATTTTTCTCCACTTTTAAACACGCTATCATTTTTAGGTCCATCTAATGTTTCCTGACAACGTGCCAAAGCCGTGCTGCGCCCCAACAAAGCTCAACGCAATATCAGTGCTTTACTTCGACGACAGCTCAAATGTTATTCTGAAAAAATATAGAAATATGGTGGTCAGATCTTGTGGGTGCCATTAGTAATGAGGTGTTTAAATTATGGTGGTCCGATGTGGGAAATGCTGGAAAACACATCTGCTGCAGGTGTGATGTGATGTACAGTATTATGTGTATAAGGTTTTCTTGCTTAATTTATTTTTGTTTGATGTTTTTAAGTTAGCACTGAATATTGTGATATTTAAATCTTTAGCTTGAAATGTTTATTTTACTTTACATAAATTATCTAAAACATCCGTGTCCATTGGCATATACTTTTTAATCTTTAGTTCACTGGAGTCCAAATTTGTGTTTCTTTTTTTTTTTTTTTTTAGCCACGTTTTCACTGTAGTCGTTCTGAGAAATTCCTGCAAGGGAGAAAAGGGACCAAGAAACATGATGGCTGGCCTCTTAACCGTTTAAGGAATTTGCTAAGACATTTTGCGACTGCTTCAGCAGTGAGTGACATAATTGATCAGTGCCTAAAGGCGTCCGCAGAGTGATAAAAAATGTTTTACTTTGTCAAGGTTTGCTGTCTTTTAATCCATTCGGGGGATGAGGAGAGCAGATGTGTGATTTGAAATGTGGCGTTTAATGACCAGAAGAAGTGCCGTTTTTAAGGCGCTTTGTTAGAGACCACAAACGGGCCTTTTCATTTCACCTGTACTTGTTGAGTTGTAAATATGTAAGAATGTATACTCATTGGTTAAATTCCATATTTCTGAGCTGATTTGTGTGTTATCAAACATGCAATAATGGATAAAGATGTAGAACAATGTAATAAAATTCACACTCTCAGAAAATAAATATTAAAGTAACCAAGTTATGTCAACTGGTCCCATTAAACCTCCACCATGGTGCCAACAGAAAAAATGCTAATTGCTAGCAGCCATAAAGCAGGTACACAGTGCCTCCTAGGACACCTACCTGCTCCACAAAACTAACAAGTGCAGTTTTTGGTCAGCAAAGAGCTGCACATTGGTGTCAGGTATAAAATCGGTCAAGTTTCTAACTCAACAATCACCGAGATCAACGTTAAAGCTCTAGTTTAAAGTTTTAAAAACAATTCGGAACCAGATTACATGACTTTATTAAGTTAAAGTAACATTTCATTTTTTTACAGGGTAGGACTGTTTAGTTAATATTTTGAGTAGTGCGGTGCTGTTGGGACAATTAGCACAAGTAGGACAACTGTTGAAAATGTCAGATTGGTTCACTGGGAGACAAAAATGTATTTTCTGTTCGAAACCCAACCACCTAGAGCCATTTTCAGGCTGTCACTGTCTTTTAGCATTTCTTCAATTTCATTCTATTTAAGCCAGATTTTCTATTTTAACACTAAATTATACCTAAAAGGGATTTTTTTATATATAGTTATTTTTTCTGCAATGAAAAATGTATTATGATTAACCATTTGTTCCTAATATTTCTGGACTTTTTTTCCTAATTTGAAACACATTTTCTTCATTGTTTGACTTAACTTTGTGAAGTAGAATGTACTGATGGTATCTCTGTATCTTAATAAAGGTACTACTAGAAAAACAAAATGATCTTTTTTTAACTTTTACTTGATTTTACAGTTTCCTCTGCTCCGGTTATGAACCTAAACTCTACATATAGAATATTTAAAAATAAATCATCTAGGATAAAAAAATAACTCCCCACCACCACCACCATCACACACACACACACACACACACACACACACACACACACACACACACACACACACACACACACACACACACACACACACACGCACGCACGCACACACACACACACACACACTTCCAGATGTAATTCCTCAACTTCATCTTGTCCTTTATAGCATTTCTGTTTGGAGGTCTGTGGCTGTTCAGCATCCTGTTGCCAGACTACCATCTCAGATTCATAAATGTTTAACAAGCATGATGTAAATTGTTGACATGCTCTGGAGGAGCTGTAATGTTAGTGGTTGAGTTAAACACTGTGACCTCCAAACCCTGACCAAAACGTTCATTGTCATCCATCCATCACTATTTATATTTGCTTTGGGGTATTCCTTCCGTCTGTTTGCATTGAGAAAAAAAATATTTGTTAGCATTTAAACTTCTGGGAAGGTAAAAATGATGAACCAAGATGGAATCAACATTATTGCATTTCCACTTTATTTGGAATCAGCACAAAATCCTGGGAAGTGCAATGGATTCCCCAAATTTTTGATTGCAGTCATTTTCAATGGTTCTGGAGATCTAAATATTAGGTAAATGATGAATATTTCTCTATACAAATGTCGTGACCTCAGAATACAGAACATGTACTCTTGCACCCCCTACCTACCCCGTATTCATCTCAGTCTTTTTGCATATTTTTTTTTCATCAAGGCAGAACATTGAGTAACTGTATTGGACTTAATTAAAAGCAGTGGCTCTGGCCTGCCCAGATGTTATGTGGGCTCCATCGAAAAAGGAGTGTTGACATTCGGTGAAAAGAAGAGGCCACCTGCTAGCTTAACTCTTGGCTTGAGGCCTGATTTGCATTCCTGTGGCCTGTTGCCTGGCATGATTACACCAAGCACTCAACAATCCAATCTACTGTTTTTAGATCACAGGTTCATTCCAATTCAGCAATATTTCTACTTTGTCTGACAAGCACGCTTTCTTGATTTTTTTAGGGTCATGTTTTCTGTAGATTGTGCAAAATAAAATCATGCCAATCAATGGTCAAAAAAATCTTTGCCATGAGCCAAAAGAGCCTCAACGATTATCTGACTAGTCATACACCTCTGAACCAAGCTGGATAATCTCAAAGTCCATGTTTTTTTTCTTTGAATAATTCATGCATCTCACTCAAAGTGTAAAAAATGTAGTTGTTACATAAACAGATTTAAATAATATCAGATCCTGAACAAGAAAGCAGGCTAAGAATGTGTGTTGACAAAGTAAATTGGATTTTAGTCGATAAAGAAAGCTAATTCTGGTATTTTAATCTAATTTACACCATCGCCAGAAGGAAGCAGATACATAAATATAGCTAAAATATCACTTAGTAATGACATAACAGCTACTAATCTTGTCAGACCACCAATAAAAACACTTCAGGCCACTCAGAGATGTCCGGAACAATATGAGAACCACAGATCCAATCAGAGATGATGCTTTATATTATATTTTGTTGTCTGACATAAAAACATATTTAAGTTAATGCAACAAACCTGGGAGTCAGAAAGGATAGACAATACCCTAGATGATGCTTATTTTAAACTAAAAATATACATGTACTTGTATGTTTAGTTTATTAATGCTGCATTTTATTGATTTTTCCTGTGTTTGGATCCTTTTCCTCTTGTGGCTTAAAGTTTATTTTCATGGTGTCGTCTTGCAGTCCATCCACAAGGCTAAGTGAAACTGTATCTAATAATAATGTTGTGCAGTTTACCTAATTCATCTCCCCCACATGTGGTTCTCCTTATTCTGGTTCTGTGGGTGGGCCGCGGCTTCCATACAGCTCAATCAGTCCCTCTTGAAAAGGAAAACCAGATGGGTCGCATTTTTACATGTTGTTTGGTATGACAAGGTTGCAGCAGGACAGTGAGGAATGTGTCCTCATAGAGGGCAACACACACTCAAGTAAAAAAAAAATGTTTGCTTGTTATTCACATATGCACTTCCTGAGTCTGAGAAGAGATGGTTTAAAGTTCTCTGAGTCACAGTGGACTGTTTGTGAGCTGAACTGTCGCTTCCAATTAATATCGCTGGCACCTGTGGATTCAAGCTGGTATTTATTTAGAAAACATGCATGTATGGGTTAAACTCGGAGAATCTAATAAACAGATACATTTGAACTTTCTTCTGGCTAACTATAAAACGGATTTATCGTTGTTGTTTCTCTTTTTCTTTTTCTCGGCGAAACATATTTTTCACGACGATCATAAAGCATGTTAGTCTTTTATGATTCTTTGGTGGTTTTCTCTTAGCATGACATGCCAACCGTGCCTGATCTCATCTTTATTATGCAGGTTAGTCATGTGCTCTTGTTGCCAATCTATGGAGCAGTTTGCATCAAGGGGCACATAAACTTAAAGGTTAAAAGGTGACACATGAGCCAAAGAAGACAAGCAGGGTGTTTAACTCCTTCTGGGACCAAAGATGTGTTTAGTGTGAATCAGTGCACTAAAGGACAGGCAAATTTAAACATGCCTAATCTGTTTAACTTAATTTTAGCACTTAATTATCAACCTACTGGTGTCACACCCTGTCCTGTCTCCCCATTTGGTTCAGCCTGCGTCTCTGTTAATTGCTCCCACCTGCCTCTCGTTTTCCAATCACCCGAGCTCCCAGCCCTCTTGTATTTAAACCCCTCCAGTTCTGTGTCTCTTGTTGGCTCATTGTTCCCATGTCCTGCATGTGTTTGTTATTAAAACCTTTTACGTTACCCAGTTTGTCTACCTGCCTGATTCCTCCCCAGCGTGTGGATCCTCACCTCCGTTCCACTCACCGGCATGTCGTGACAACTGGTTGATAGTGGAGCTACAACTAACGTAAACAGCCCTACTGTGTAGCTAGCACTAACAACGAGCTAACACGAGTCAGCTAATACTAGAATAAACCACAAAGTAAAAAGACCCACACTGTATGACAAAAATAGTGTTACTTACAAGTCTGGTAGCAACAAAGCCAGGTCACCATCAGTTTGTGATTTTGTAGCCTCCTGTAGCCCCCTCAAACTAGTGTAGGCTGTGCCGGTGTTCAATCTGGTTTTAGTTCTTTTCTTTGCCTTCAAAGACATTACTCTCTTACTTTTACTTCCAGGCTCCATCATGATGTCAACAGAAAAAGCAAACTTCTTTTTCTTCTTGTGTTTTTAATGATTGGCGAACTGAAAATGCTAACTGCTATCATGACAGCTAACAGCTGTAAAGCAGGTAAAGAGCTCCACTCCACAAAACTATCTAGTGTGTTTTTTTAATTATTAATTTTTTTTCGACACCAGAGGGCTGCAGAATGCTGTCAAATATCAAACTCATCAAGTTTATAACTCAACAATCACTGACTACATTTACATGCAGCCAATATCCGGGTTATGATCGGGTTAAGGTCGGTATTCGGGTTTCTGAGTTGATCAGAATAACCCGTTTACAAGCATAAATAGAAAGAGTTACCTCTAACTTGCATAACCCGATTTAAATGCGGACGTTGGGGTAGCGTCAGGACGTATGGACTACGTCCAGACGCAATATGCGTCATTTCCGGTCCTTCTTGTTCCGGTATCCGTGAAAACAACAACATGATTCCCAGTTCGGAAGAGATAGCGACGACGTTTGTTTGCGCTTTAGTTCCTCGTCACTCCAAAAGTGTGGTGCTGTGCCGCGACTCGCCATGTTGCTCCCAACTTGTTGTTTACTTCAGTGTTCTGGCGCACACAAGACGTCTCGCTACTCAAAAGTCCAAGATTCCTTGCGAACAGAGCATGCGCAGAACACACGCTTTGATGGGGATATCCCGATATGTATTTACACGACTAAACATTCGGGTTAGAAAAGGGTTACCCCAGGTGTAATAACCGGGTTTTTAAAAACCCAGTTATGAGCATATCCGGGTTTTTGGAGGTGTTTACATGGACCTGCGGAACCGGGTTATTGTGAATATTCTGGTTTTTAAAGGGTTACTGGCTGCATGTAAACGCACTCACTGAGATCCATGGACGTAGTTTGACTGTAGAAGTGCTTAGGACACAACTGGCATGAGGACTGGGGGGTCTTTACTGTAAGTATAGCATATGTATTAAACTAAAGCCTATAGAGGCTGTTTTATGCAATGTCAGGAATGCAGAACTACACAGGTGGCAGTAAAGACTGATCAGACGTTAGCAAGTATCAGCAGAGCCAATAGATGAGCTTATGGATGATTCTAGAAACAGGCTTCAACACAAGCAGTTGTTTTCCGCTTGGTCCTAGAGCTCAATCTGTGTCTATTTAATATAGCGTAATGTTGTTTTGGGATGGTAAAAAGTGCAGGGGACAAAAATTGACTTAAAAGCTAGTTTAGCCCGCCTCCCCAACAAAACTACGTCCATGCTGAGGTCAACGTTAAAGCTCTAGCTTAAAGTTAAAAAAAATCTATTGTTGCTTTCATAGAGATACTACGTTTCATTTTAGATCCAGTACATGCAAACTAAAACATTTCATAATTTAAAGTCTGTTTATACAAAAACTGTAGTATTCCTTCCAAAACCGTGGGATAATATTACCACAATGAAAACCCTCCATAAATGTTAGATACCAAAGTTTTTCTTCTTTAAAAAAATGAGCAATAATTAGTTTTGGGGGGGAAAATAGAACCTGCTTTGGTAGTCAGAGTTTATCACTGAAGGCACACAAAAATGTCAGCAGCTACAACTTAACCCAGTTCATGTATTTTCTGGCAACAGTAAATTTTGCGGGGAAATTAAATTTCTGCCTCAGAGGATACGAACACACTGAAGGAAATCTCTGTGCTTTATGATCCAGGTGGAGCTGTAATCCACCTATAAAGTCTTCTGCTGTAAAACGCAAAATCTGCTCAGCAAATATGGAGCTGCTTGGGAACATCTGCTTGACTACATCCAACTGTGGAGAACGGATGGCGTGACAAATTGTGCTAATCATCGACCGGTGAGATTTACCACACGTTTTACTCTCTCTGTCTATAGCTGCCAACGTTATATTCTAGTGAGTCCCAGTGGTATGGTGACGTGCACGTGCAAAGATGGAAAGTGTGTATAATACCGTAAAAACTCCTGAGCTGACACAAAACATATTGATCTGTGGTGACCAAAGCCTCGGGCTGTGATCGCAGTGAGGATAATCTCTAATACACATGCTGTCTCTGAGGGAAAGTTAACTCAAAGATGACTTATTGAAAACACTGAACTTCGTTTTGAAACATTTTATTTAGGAATTTTCATATTTCTGTTGTGCCAGTAAAAACATTTTCCTTTCATGAAAGAAAATGGAGATTTGAAAAATATATTATCTATTTGACGGGGATATATTATGCAAAATGCACCTTTTGCATCCTTTTGTGTTGCCACGTGGGTCTCTACCGCCTCTATAAACACTCCAATCATTAAAAATAAAAATAAAAACAATCCATTCATTTTCTGTCGGTGTATGGATTTCTTGTCTAAAACGAGTCGTTTGTGATGTCACTAATGGAGAAGTTACAAAGCAATCACCTCACAAGAGAGAGCTGGAGGAACAGCTACTAGAAGGCACTCCTGGAATTCGGAGGTCCCCAGCCTATAGCAGCCTGAGCAGCGGCCGGGGGGTGGGGGGGTGGGGGGCATGGCCAGCTCCAGCTCGTTTTCTTAAAGTGGCAGAGCCCTGAAACAGCTCATTCTGGAAGGTTATGAAAATGTCAAGATTAAAATTGCTGAAAGTGAGAGCAAGAAGGATTTAGTGCAAAAAACATCAGAACATGGGTCGTTTCTCTTTAGCCAAGTATGCTAGTGTGTAACTGTCAAATGTGTTAATGGCTATTGCAGCAGAAAGTTTGTCCTAGCGAGTACGGGAGGACGAGGACGGCATTTTGGAACAGAACGATACGCTGTTACGTCATGGCTAGGGTTAAAAAAACAATCTGAAATAAAATAAAAGTCTAATTTGTCCCTTCAGTAACAAAATAACAATAATGGAAACAACTGGATACTATTTGGTCCACTTTTTGTCAAATTTGATTAAATACTAGCCTTTACAGCTGTTAAATTATGGAAAAATGATGTTTATTTTTCATCCAAACAGAGCTATTTAAGGCTTTTATTGCTTTTATTTTGATAGTGGATTATCTAATTAGCATTTTGAGGCATTGTGAAGAGTTAGAAAAAAACACACACAACAAATTTTACAGGTTAGACACAATTATCTACAGTAACAGACTAAATTATTTGTATTTTTGATATAAACACACTAGTTATGTGCTTTCTCCTGTGCAATTTTTCATTTGGTATGTTCCTAATGGTTCACAGTGCAATGCATTATGGGATAATTTGCTAACCCAAGTCTGCAGAAGAATGCATCGGCGTATCCTTGATACAATGGGCAGCACAAGAACACATCCATGGTGCGTACTTAGGTTTGGTACAGTTCTTAGGCCAGCGTTGATGACTTTCACAAGCATGTGAGTAAGTAAGTAAGTTCAGACGAGTATACATATTGAGAAACGGCCATATTTTAATGAACTATAAACTATTTATAACCTAAGACAAAAAGCATTGTAACATTTCCTCTTTAAGAATGATTTCTAAACGTTTCAGTTTGTATTGATGGAGTTTGTTCCTGTAGGACTAAACTGCTTTCATCTCCTCTGAAGACTTTCAGGGTGATAATAATGTGCAATTCTCCCAGCACCAGGACTCCCATGTTGTTACAGTTCAGTTAAACCTATGATGTTCCAAAAAGAAGAAATTGAAACCGGATGGCAGATGAAAATTGATTTAATCTGGTTCCTGTTTTCTTTCTTCCCCTTCGTTTTCAGTCAACATCTGAGTCTTTAGACCTCTTTCATGCAACGTTGAGAACCTGTAGTCCATAAAAACCTGTTTTCCACATCTGTTTCTCACTCAAACAAAAATAGATTCTTGGCTGTAGGAGATTTTTTGATTGTTATTCGTTGTTGCATTATTTTTTAATATCTTGAGATATTTACCTTCGCTGGGTTTCAAAGGTTCTGCGAGGTTCTGTGAGACTCCAGTTCTCCAGAGGTGCTTCCAAACCTGCAAACACATCTTTTTTCCTGTCTGCTCATATCTGTTTACCCAATCAGCAAAGCCTCAGAGACTGAGTCCAGTTTAAGTCAAAGTTTTTTTTTATCATTTGTGTTTGTTTTTTAGGGTATGGATTTTGGCTCTGTATGTTGGTTTTTGTTCATTTATTTGGAATCTAGCAATTTTTATGCTAGTAAAGTGAGGCTGGAATGCAACAAACTGGTTGCAAAAGTTTCAAAAAGAAGAAACGAGTTACTAAATGTGTCTTTTTGGAGATTTGCACGATTAGATATATTTATCTTCCATAAACTTCTTGTGTAAATTGTGGTGTCTTTCTTCGTTCTATCCCAAACTTTAGAGACTTTTACTCACCTGCATCATATTGAGTCCTTAAAAGGAAGAAATCCCCGAAGGCCAGTTGTATAAGTGACTGCCTGCATCTGCTTAATGTCAGGATAAACCACTGCCGCAAAGGGTTCTTGAAAGGATAAAAAGTAAAATGCCACTTTGGTTTAGGAGATGAATGAACTGACTGCAAACACACACACACACACACACACACACACACACACACACACACACACACACACACACACACACACACACACACACACACACACAGAAGAAAACCTTTTCTTGAGGAAACCAAACATTTTTCTAACGACAGACGACAACAACATTTTATTGAGTTCAGTTTATTTTTCTTATATGGTAACAATTTACAACAAAAGTCATCTGAGAGCAAAGAACATAAACACATCCAAGTCCAATCACATGCCAATTTGTTAAAATGTTTCTAGCCAAGAAAACCAGTGACACCGGTACATTTTGGAAAGGATGGCAAATTTGAGATGGGGAATAAACTATGAAAAGAAAATTGAGCAATAGCAGTAAAGACAGCAGATATAAGAGAGGCATTGTTTTGCTTGTTCTAAACATGGATGTCTGCCTCCAAAACCCCCAATGTTGAAGGTTCTGCCTCCTGTTCTACTTCTGGAAACTCCAAAAACCAAAGTCAATATAATAGAAACAAAACTAATACATAAATAAATGCAGTTGCAAAATATGTATTTATAAATATAACGTTTGTGAGGGCATCTGTTGAAAAAAGATTGGCATCACTTTGAAAACAATCAAAAGTTTTTATAGACTAGAAACACGCAAGCAACTAAAGGTGTGCTTCATTTTTCTGCTCCATGTTTTACATAAATAAATTAAATTTGGGGGGAAAAAATGTTAAAGTTCTCACAAAACACCAAAGGTTGTCCGTGTAGTCTTTCCTCCTCTGAGCGTGAACATTGGAGGTCTCACAGTTCGGTGTGGTTAGTGTTCAGACTTACTCTTTCTTTAGTGATTATTGACCAGATGTTTTATGACATCCTGAAGTTAGCAGCAGTGATACCTCTGGTGATAATTTAAATGCCTGGGATCAGGGGCGGATTTAGGACTGAAGAAGATCCGGGGCTTAACACACACGCGCGCGCACACACACGCGCACACACACGCATGCGCGCACACACGTGACACGCACTAGTCAACATCATATATATATATATATATATATATATATCTTGTACCACATAATGTTTAATCTGAAGCTACATATTCAGCATATTCAGGGCAGAGTATTGTTCCTGTTAGTGTTTAGTGTGAGATGATAGTGAATATTCCCTTTCTTTCTCCAACAACTTTACCTGATAGTAAGCTAACTTTAGGCAAACCAGCAGCACAACAAATATTTTCAAATAAGACTCACAAACCTGAGTCAACACCAGTCTCATCAGAGCTGGGGTTCTGTCGTTGTACTTTTGGTCTAAAAAAACGTCCTTATATCCATCTTCACTCATGCGTTTCAGACAGAGACTGCAGAAGCCAGCTGCTGAAGGGCTTCTCTTCAGTCTCAGGTAAACTGTATACTGACTAAGTAGCCTAGTGGTAGAGTGTCTGCCCTGAGATCGGGAGATCAGGGGTTCGACTCCTGGTCGGGTCATACCAAAGATTTTGAGAAAAATGGGACCCAATGCCTCCCTGCTTGACACTCAGCATTGGATTGGGGTTGGATTGGGGGGTTAAACCACAAAATAGTTCCCGAGCGCAGCGTGTCTGCAACTCAGGGGATGGGTCAAAATCGGAGAATAAATTTCACCACACACCTGTGTGTGTGACGACTAAATGGGACTTTACAAACTACTGCCAGCTGCGCCCTCTCTGTGTGACTTTGGCACTGCATGTTACTTCCGCGATTTAGATCCGGGGCTTATCATGAAAGATCCGGGGCTTCAGCCCAAGTAGCCGGGCCTAACGCCGCCCCTGCCTGGGATCAATCTAGGAGGATTCATATCTTTCTTAGCTGAGTTTAAAGGACATATGAAAACTGCTGAGATACTATCTTAATTTATTATTGTAATATTTAAAGAAACATTCACCAAATATTTAATTTCCCTTAGTGCTTCTACTGATTCGCTCCTACCCCCCACTCTATTGCTCTGTTGTGACTGCTGCCTTCCTGCCAGAGATGTGGTTGCCATGGCAACTGCTGAATCACTGCCCACAGTCTGCAGCCTTCCTCTAATTTAATCTCCACACGAAGCGAGGACACCCGCCGCGCAGACTGGAATCAGCATACTGATATGACGCAAGGATTTTCCTCCATTAGTTAAAGCAGTCGGTGCGGTCTTTCCTCTGAGGACTCAAGGTGGAGCAGCAGCAGCAGAAGCCGCTCTGATGGGGAGCATACCCACCACAGTGAAGCACTGCCTGAGCTACGAGCAGCTCTTCGAGGACTATCCCTGGCTGAGGCGTTGGCTGCAGGAAGAGAAGGTGGGAATCCCTTTTCCTAATCTGCTGCACATGATTGGTCACGTGACAGTTCTGGTGGTATGAAGGGCCTCAGTTTCAGCCATCAGTCACTGATGCAAGAACCAGTGTCAACCATAGTTTTATCTGTTTACTTTTTAGGAGATTTAGCATGTTCAATTCATTCATAACTTAATCTATTTCTGTATTATATTTAGATTCACAGATTTTTTTCTTTTGTAAAATGCACATTTATTGAATGCTTGTCTTTTGAATAGTCCCACTCCACTCCAGTTGGTGGCAGTAATGCCCCAAGAAGTGGTTTGCTAACCACCACAAAGCAGCTGGAAGCAGAAGAAAAATATTGGTCATGACATGATCATAGCCAAGGAAATGTGGAGTTCACAAATTCATTACAATGAGAAAAAGAATGATTTTGTGAGGGGTGACAACAAAAACAAGTCCAACCACATGTCCATGCATAAACTTGGGCCATCACATTTTAAAAGGCCTGGGGTCTCATTTATCAAACATTGCGTAGAATCCTTACTAAAACCGTACTTAACCCTTTGATGCATGAATTATGAAATCTTCAACCACGATTTTTTTAACAATTTTTTTATTCATCTTTAGGTGTGAATGAAACAAATTTCAACAAATATTTTTTGTAAAATTTTATAATTTACAAATAATTTTTTACATGTCCACCTCAGTGGGCAGCGTGCAATCTGAACATGAAATATGTTGGCTTGGCTTACCGAAGTCCAAATGGAGGGGCTCAAATGCAATAAAGTCTTCAACAGCTGTGCTTAATAGCAAAAATAAATAAATAACAATTTTGAGTACCTGTCCACTGTAGTGACCATTATGCATCAAAGGGTTAAGCTCAGCAAAAAAAATGCTCTTACGCCAAGTAGGTTTGTGATCTATCAAACATGGAGTACGCACAGCTGCACGCAATCTCCGCTTCATAAATCAGAGACTAACGAGAATGTTTCTCAGCTGCATTTTAGTCACATCCCGCCCTCACCACGCCCACTTACTGCCATAAATAGTCAATGCAAAGTGCCTTGTGGATCTCATGCATATACATATGCCGGCTGTTGTTGCGCTCCGTCAATGACGATGGCGACCATAGATCAAGGCAGATCAAGGAAGCCAATTTCACAAACAGAAATTGAGGTACCTGTGGGTGAGGTGGAGAAATGAAAGGAAGTACTTTTGCAAAACAAATAAGAAAAAATCCACGGAGTGGCACAGCGTTGCTGAAGCCGTCAATGTTGAATTTTTCAGAGAGATCTGTGGTGGACATTAAAAAAAATGGTCCGATCAGGATTCAATCCCCAGACTCCCAGGTGAAAGTCACATGCGCTAACCAGTCAGCCAAACAGAGATCTCCCCTGTACAAGTAGCCAGGACGCATCATCAATCAGGTTACAGTGACAGGACACACACTGTCACAAACGCATGACATTCTGTCTCAATCTGTCCCCCTGCTGATATTCTGCATTTCGTATTCTGCGCTTCAGGCTTTGTGTGTGTGTGTGTGTGTGTGTGTGTGGGGGGGGGGGGGGGGGGGGGGGGGGGGGGGGGGGGGGGTCTCCATGTCCAAAATGTGCATAAGGCAGGCCCTTAGTCAGCTTAAAGTTGCTCATATTTTTCCGCTAAGTTTTCTTTCATAAATCCCAACCTTTGCGTGGAAAGTTGCTTAAGCAGTTTTCCGACCCCGTTTTGTGCACAAGCAAGCTTGAAAAATGAGGCCCCTGGACTTGCCACTGCAACCATGAATATACAGTCAATCGTGTCTAAATAACTTAAAGTTTTAAAGAAAAAAGTTTCAAAGTAAAAGTAATGTCATCCAAGTACATTAAGGACTAAATGCTTACACTGCATCCGGAGTCATATCGCAGTGGCAGTAGCCTAAGGCGAGAGGCCCAGACTTCCCTCTCCCCAGCCACTTGGGCCAGCTCCTTCGGGGGAATCCCAAGGCATTCCCTGGCCAGTTGAGAGACATACTCCCTCCACCGTGTCCTGGGCCTATCGTTAGGTCTCCTCCCGGTTGGACGTGGCCGGAAAACCTCACCAGGGAGGCGTCCCGGAGGCATCCTGACCAGATGCCCGAGCCACCTCAACTGGCTCCTCTTGATGTGGAGGAGCAGCGGGTCTACTCCGAGCCCCTCCCGAATGACCGAGCTTCTCACCCTATCTCTAAGGGAGAGCCCAGCCACTCTTCGGAGAAAACTCATTTTGGCCGCTTGTATCCACGATCTCGTTCTTTCAGTCACTACCCAAAGCTCATGACCATTAGGTGAGGGTAGGAACGTAGATCGACCGGTAAATCGAGAGCTTCGCCTTCTGACTCAGCTCTCTCTTCACCACGACGGACCAGTACAACGCCCGCATCACGGCAGATGCAGCACCAATCTGCCTATCGATCACGCTCCAGTTTTCCCTCACTTGTGAACAAGACCCTGAGATACTTAAACTCCTCCTTTTGGGTCAGGACCTCATCCCTGACCCGGAGAAGGACCCTTTTCCGAATCAAGACCATGGTCTCAGATTTAGAGGAGCTAATTCTCATCTCAGCTGTTTCACACTCGGTTTGGCTTAAATGCATTGTTGGTAATGATTTTTTAAGCAGAAAACAACAAATATTTTACAGTTATTTAATTTGTTTCTAACTGTAATGCATCTCATCATGTAAAAGTGAAATTACAGAATTAAATTTAAACATAATTTATTATGTTACTTATTCAAATTACTACATTTTAGCAAACGAAATGTTAAATTTACTTAACTAAATTATGTCAACAGTTTTTTCTTAAACCTAGTAGCTTAAATGCAAAGAGTAACATATATTGTTATATGTTGTTATGTTAAAAGACATTTAATTTTTACAGTGTACATGAAAATGCTCACAGTATTAAATATCTATCTATCTATCTATCTATCTATCTATCTATCTATCTATCTATCTATCTATCTATCTATCTATCTATCTATCTATCTATCTATCTATCTATCTATCTATCTATCTATCTAGTCTGTCTGTCTGTCTGTCTGTCTGTCTGTCTAGTTTTTATTTTAGTTTTTATTTTATTTTTTTACAAAAAACAGCTAATGACCATAAATGTTATATAAAGGGGTGCAGTGGTGTTTCTGCACTATCGTCACAATCTACTGGTCAAACCCAATCCACATACTACACCCCTGCACTAGGCTACCTTTTACAACCACAAACATGCTTATTGAACATTGATGCATTGTAGTGCAATTTGTGGATAATACAAACCATTGGGAGTCAGAATGGTAGATGTTTAAAATTATATTCAACCACAATCACATTCATTCTATCCAGATTGCACTGTTCATCAGAGTTTGTTTCTTTTTTGTTTGTTTTGTGTGTGTTTTCAACATAAGCAGGCCAAAATGTGATGTATTGAGCCTATTTTAAAATGTAAAGGGTAGAAATTACAGATAATTTTGTGAAAATGTCAGGAGTAGAAGTAAAGTCTGTAATACATAACCCCAGTGTACGTAGGTAGGTATTTTTTACAGTATTTCACAGTGAGTATTTGTAATTATTTACTTGACACATTTATCCGAGTGGTAACTGAGTGAACAATGCCGCCATACTGGTTGACCATTAAGAATGGGATGACATTGCACAGCAAATAGTGACGATGCTGGCAACCAGCATGAGGAGAAACCATTGTGGTTCCATGTGGGTCTTCCACATGCTACTAAGGCCCCTAAAATAATAAAAGTATGAAGTAAAAATGGCCACAAGGTTATTTTTTCCTTATTATATTGATAACGTGCATTCCTCCAATCCACAAAGCAACTCAGAGCAAGCTTGAAGAGCAGCAGAAAATTACTGCAGGGAATTTTGACAGTTTTCAAAGTTGTAATCACATTATTATATGTGTTGCTGATTCCACTGATGCTTGAGGCTGAAAAGTTATACCTGAAGGTGTCTAACCACGCTTTCCTATGATGTAAAATATATTAATAATGTATGATGTTACTGTGACGTTTCTACTTTTTTTGTACATCTGTATGAATCTGATTTATTGCAGATCTTTTTCATATAAAACAAGCATGATATTCTTATTCAAAAAGAAAACATCCAGAACAGAAACCAGCAACCTCATATTAGAAACATTTCTTGTGGTTTCAGTCAAGTTGCCCTAACGATAATCTCCAGCCTTTTCTCTATGACACATCCTCTGAGTTCGTTTCCATAATGGCATGGCCAGATTATGTTTTCCTCCTCGGATTTCATGTGGCTTTGAGATATAAAGCTATTCCTGTTCCTGGGGCATCCCACCCCAACAGGGTGGCTGCCTTTTTGGAGTTCATTACCCTGTTGACTGGTGTTTCTTTCTTTGTTCTTGTTTATCTTTGATTTCTCTCCAGATCATTACAGAACACGAGTATCCAAAGTTTGTGAAAATTGTTGAAGTTGGGCCAAGAGACGGACTTCAAAATGAAAAAGTATACACAGCTACAAAACACATTTATCTTTATGGGTATCACTGTTTACTCTTACACAATGAGCTCTGGAAAGTCCCCTTTTTATTTCATTTTGCAGTAGATCTGAGCACATGGGCTGTCTGCCATAGTTGCTGGAAGCATGTGTTTTACATTTTCACTGAAACAAAAGAGAAAAGATGACACACAACCTTCTAGCTGAGTTTTATCTAACACACCAGTTAGGACTATAAAGCGTTGAAGTGATACTTTATTAAAAGGGCCATATCATGGAAAATCCACTTTTTGGAGCTTTTCACCATCTGATATTGTTATTTCCTCATGAAAAAAACACAACAAAACCCATTTTTGGTTGCATTCAGTCATTTTCTTGTTTCAGATGCAAATTTGGAGTTTTACGTTGAAAACCCTGTAAAGCGTCAATGGAAACTAATCTTATCATCAGGCACTGCTCCTCTCCAGAAAGCTAGTCTTTGGTCTAAGGCCTGTCTCCCCTGGTCAGCAGGATATTTGGGTTAGCTGACTATAGTGCCAAATAGCAGATTTGGTAATCCAGTGGTTAGCGTGCAAGGTTGGATTCCTTAACCACTGGACCACCATTGCCAACTGCATCACCTAAGACGCTGTAATAGGCATGCTTTGTTGGAGTGGATGTGGGCGGAGTTTCACTCAAACAAAGCATTTTATTTCCGGGTGTAAAATCAGGCTGATGAAAATAACTTGTTATTAAGATAAATGACATCTCAATAGTGCCAATGGTATTTTTTTACCATATACTTTGATCTCAAATGTTTAAAATAGCATGATATGAATACTCAGCAGGTGTATGGGTTCTTTCATGTTCATTACAAATAAAAACACAGCACGCGTTGCATTATTCAAAAAGAAAAGTTTCAAGTCTGTTCCAAATCAAACCCAGAAAAACCAGTTTCAGTTTTGTTGTCCCTCAGGAAATTGTTCCGACAGGAGTGAAAATCCAGCTGATTGACATGCTCTCAGCAACGGGCCTTTCAGTGGTGGAGGCCACCAGCTTTGTCTCTTCAAAGTGGGTGCCACAGGTAATAACTCTTCTCAGTGCACCGCAGCAGAGTGCCGAGTGATTTATTAGAATCCGTATCTGTTCATGTAAAACGCTTTCTGGTGACTCATTTCTGGTTTTCATTTTTTTGCGTAATTGTCTTTTTGTATTCTGTGGGTAGAAAGTGCCTATTTTAATTATATTTTTCCTTTTTGTTTTTAGATGGCAGACCACACTCAGGTCCTTCAGGGTATCCAGAGAGCACCTCTAACTCAGTACCCTGTTTTAACACCAAACATGCAAGGTTTTCAGGATGCTGTAAGTCTGCTTTATCACTAAAATAGACTGGTGAATGCAAAAATATACTTATTGATATTATTTATGACTATTAGTCACAATAGTGAGGATTCTGTGACGTTTTAGTTAATAGTTTATTCCTGAGAGTGCTTGGTTCTTTGTTGTTTTAAGGTTGCTGCCGGTGCTACTGAAGTAGCCGTGTTTGGGTCCGCTTCTGAAACCTTCAGCAGACAAAACATAAACTGTTCAATAGATGAAAGCATGCTGAGGTTTCAGGAGGTCATCAACGCTGCAAAAGAACGACAAATTCCAGTTCGTGGGTAAGAAGCATGAAAGTTTATAGTCAGTAGCAACAAGGACAAACATTTTACTCATTCTTTACCGTCATGCTAATAAGTAAAATAATGCAGGCCAGAAAGCTTAACTTTTTAGAGTATGAACTAAAATCAAAAGCACTCATGGGCCACAAAAATGTCATTTAAAAAATCTAAACGATTTTACTGTGTTCTGTATATCTTTGGAGAAATAAAGCTAGGAGAAAGGTCTCACATGTTTATCTTGACAAAAAAGCACCTAGTTCGCTCAAGGTTAATAGTTTCAGAGTTGCCTCAAAATAAATTTCAGTCTCACTACCAGTGCTTTCTGTGTTTAGTTGACGTTTATAAAAGTCAGCATAGCTAAAATATTGGTCACTTTACAGAAAAGTTATAGAACAATTGAAAGTTATTGTTTAAATCCGGGTAACTGTGCACATCAATACAACATGGAGGTCAAGAACCCTGTCTCCAGTCATTATCCAACCTGTATGTCCACAATTTAAGCTAACAAAATAAAATCTAGGGATTTAGACATTATTACTTTGGATCACCTAATGCATCTTTGTGCAAAAGAAGCAAAAACAGAAACATCTCTAAGCTAAAGGTGTTTAGCATGAAGCTTCCAGGTCTTTTTGAAATAGCTAATGAGCTGTGGGGACGACAGTCCTCCGACCCGGCTGCCTTCACTTTTCACAGCTGAACCAGCGAAGGTGTAACCAGATCCCTTCTACGTTTTGAGGGTTAATTAATGCTGAAGAATAGCTGTGACACCATTTGTCTTTGGAGATGAACGGATGGTCCGATTATTCTGACGAGTAATGTAAACAAAAACTTTAGGTTACTATCGTAACCCCGGTTCTCTGAGTAACATGAGTGAGATGTCTCACTATGGGACACGCCCCTCCGCGGATTCCTCAGAAGCACTTATCTCAATACGCCAATCCTGATTGGCCAGTGACCGTGACGTACGTGTCCCCCTGCTACTATAAGTAGCAAGCGTCCCAACGCACGCACTATTCAAGATAAACACCTCTTCTCGCTTCGCCCAGCAAGAAGGGTTGTCTGGTGAGACATCTCACTCATGTTACTCAGAGAACCAGGGTTACGATAGTAACCTAAAGTTCTCTTTCTTAACATTCGTTTTGATGTCTCACTATGGGATATGAAGACTCCCGTATTGCCAGACAGCTTATCCAACGATCACCAACCTACAGCGGTACGTCTTGGCCCGCCAAAGACCCCACACTCAGAATCGTGTGAGTCATTGCAGGGACTGAAACATCAAGCTTATTGAAGCGTGCAAATGCAAGTGGAGAAGCCCAACTTGCTGCAGCACAAATCTCCTGGATTGACAGCCCCCAAAAAAGGGCCCAAGAAGCAGACAGGCCCCTAGTAGAATGGGCCCTGAGCCCTACAGGTGCCTGAATGCCCTGACAGGAGTAAGCCATAGAAATAGCCTCCACAATCCAGTGGGAAAGCCGCTGCTTTGTGACGGGTTTCCCCTTACGAGGCCCACCCCATGACACAAAAAGCTGGTCCCCCCGCGAAGGTTCTCCGTCCGATTAACATACTCCTTGAGCACGCGAATCGGACACAGCTTGTGCAACCGCTCCTCCTCAGGAGAGGAGAAGGGCGGTGGGTAGAAAGCTGTGAGGATAATAGGAGAAAAGGAGCCCACCACCTTAGGCACAGCCTGCGCGCGCCCCTCATGAAGCTACACACCAGGGGGTGTTGACCTGCCAATTTCTTCCCAAAACCCAAGTGTCGGGCGGAAATGGCTGCTAGGTACACTTTAATGGTGGAGAAAGCCTTCTTCCCATCCAACAAGTCTTGCAGGAAAGACAGAATGACGTTCACCGGGCATTGGAAGGGTGAGACCTCCCTGCCCTGACACCAGGCTTCAAACACCCTCCATTTACAGTCATATAGGGACCTAGTGCAGGGGGCCCTAGCATTCTGAATGGTTCGAATGACTGCCTGGGGCAGCTCTGCTGACCCTAGACTGCACCCCTCAGGGGCCAGGCCCACAGGGCCAGCCGTTCTGGATGAGGGTGGAAGATTGAGCCTCCCGCTTGGGACACCAGGTCCCTGCGAAGCGGCAGTTTCCAAGGTTGGCCCTCCAGGAGCTGGAAAATGTCCGCCACCCAATGCATGGCTGGCCAGTATGGGGCCACCAGAATGAGAGTGTGGCGCCAGGTTCGTACCCTCAGCAAGGTGGGTGGTATCAGGGCCACTGGGGGAAAAGCATAAAGCAGTCCCCGTGGCCAGTCGTGCGCCAGCGCGTCCACGCCGAATGGAGCATCTCGGTCGCGCAGGGAGAAGAACAGTGGACACTGAGCATTCTCCTTGGAGGCAAAGAGATCCACTACGGCTGTGCCGAACCGGATCCAAATCTGTTCCAACACTGCTGGATGCAGGCTCTAATCCCCGTACAGGGGTGTCCCTCTGGACAACAGATCCGCCCCCCGATTCAGAACACCCGGGACGTGGGTGGCTCTGATTGGGAGGAGATGCCTGCTGCACCATGGGATCAGTCTGCGTGCCAGCGTGTGTAACCGCATGGAGCGCAGCCTTCTCCATCCCCTCGAAGTCCAGCGAGGAGGCTCCTTGGACAGGAGACCTGGAGCTGAAAGGGTGTTTGTCCCAGGAGGACCTCACTTCTTGGAGAAGCTCCGGGAAGGCGGGAAGGAGGGGCTTTGCCGCCCTTGTGGCCTGAGGCAGCTTCTTTCTCTGGTAGCGGGATCTGAATAGCGGTTTATATAAGCCACAGTCGTGGTGTTGTCTGTTCTCACTAGGACATGATGGCCGGAGAGAAAAGGCAGGAAGCGCCTCAGGGCCAGAAAGACCGTGAGGAGTTCCAGATAATTTATGTGTGTCCCCCAGAGCTCTCTGCTCCACACACCCCTGACAGAGCGACCCTCCAGGAGCCCCCCCCACCCCCCCCCCCCACCCCACCTGACAGGCTCGCATCTGTCGTGACCACTTTCCTCACGAGAACCAACCCCAAAGGCACCCCCTGTGCCAAGAGGGAGGGGTGACGCCAACAGCGGAGCGCCGCGACGCACGCTGCAGATACCGTCACCCTGCATGCTCTGTGGCGCACTGGAGAGAGTGCCAGACCCAGAGAAGCCACCCAGCATTGAAAATCTCTCATGTGTAGATGGCCGAGTGGTACCACTGAAATAGCGGACGTCATGAGACCCAAAAGCCTGAGGCATAACGCAAACCGCACCGAACTGTGTAGGCGGAAGCGCGCCAGACAGAACGAGAGCGCATTCACGCGTGGTGCCGAGAGACAGGCCGTGAACGCCCCTGAGTCCAGATTCAGACCTAGAAAGGTTATTTTCTGGGAGGGGAGTAAAGCGCTTTTCTGCCAGTTTATTCTGAAACCCAGACCACACAAGTGATGGATCACAACCAGCGTGTTTGACGTTGCCTCCTCTCTGGACCGTGCCAGCAGGAGCCAGTCGTCTAAATACGTGGCCAGCCGAATGCCCCTCCCTCTCAGAGGGGTGATCGCCGCCTCCGTACACCTGACAAACACCCTCGGGCTCAGCGAGGGGCTGAATGGCAGCACGGTGTATTCGTAACACACTCCCTGAAAGGCAAACCTCAGAAATTTCCTGTGTGGAGGGTACACGGGAATACGAAAGTATGCGTCCCTCAGGTCGATTGAGGTGAACCAGTCGTTCTGGTGAATCAGACGCAAAAGGGATGAGAGCGTGAGCATTTTGAATCTGTACTTTCTGAGGCATCGGTTCAGGGCCCTCAGATCCAGGATCGGGCGAAGACTGGTCCCTCCCCGTTTCGGGACCAGGAAGTACCTGGAGTAGAAACCGCTCTGAGACCAATCGGGAGGCACAATGCATATCGCTCCCTTCTCTAGCAGGGAGGAGATTTCTCCCTGAAGGATGTGAGCTGATGTCCCCTGGGCGTGGGAGAACACTACGCCGGAGAATCGAGGAGGAACAGAAGTGAACTGGAGCCTGCAACCTCTCGAAATAGTTCTTAGCACCCAATGTGAAGCAGAAACCGCTGTCCATTCCTCCATGTGAGTGGAGAGCGGTGACACAGCCGTGACACATGGAGCAGCAGCTCCCTCCAGAGGTTGTGGGGCAGCAGTGCTCGTGGCAACCACTGCGCATGCACGGGGGCTTTGTGCTTTGAAGGCCCTGGCGTACGGGGACGACCCGTGGCTGGCGGGAAAGTCCGCCAGGGGCCGCCCCCGCCTGGAACCGCTCATGGGTGACATTTTTATTGATTTTTGCTGCGCCCTTGACATTCTGTCTGGATGCGGCAGCGAACTTTTTAATGCTCCTTGAGCGTGACATGTTTGTAAAAAACAACGTGAGCGCTTGTGACGTGTGTTTTGAGCCGGCACAGCCGGCTGCACGTCCTGGCCCCACCCTGGACCGCTCGGGGACTCCGCCGGAGGGGTTCCGTGAGGGGGGTGAAAGCACCATGGCAACATCGAACAGGAGGAGCTGGCGAACAGGGAACTGCCAGCTGCAGCGTCGGGAGGGAGGGAAAGACCTCCATCAGGCTGCCCTCTTCTTCTTCCTCACCTGCTGACCGCCGGGTCGGGTGGGTTGTCCCGGCGGCGGAGTGGCTTGGTTGCTGGACCTCTGAGGCCAAACTGGTCGAGGCGCTGAGCCCGAAGGAGCTGGTTGGACTGCTTGAGGCTTCGGGCGCTTTGGGATCCGGAACTGAGGCTGGGCTCGGGCCGCTGCCTGAGGAAGGTTTGGCCGAGCCGGCAGAGCCTTTGAAGGCTTACGGGGAAGGCAGAGTTGAAGGGCTTCATCCTCCTTCTTTTTGGCCTCACACCGTTGCTGCATTGATGCCAGGGCAGAGCCAAAAATGCCTTCAGGCACGAATGGCATGTCCAAAATGTCCTCCTTCTCTCTATCAGAGAGGTTGGTGAGGTTCAGCCATCATGCACGTTCTTGAAGCACCATCATGCCCATAGCTTTAGCCGTAGCCTGGACCGCGCAGCGCTGCACACGCAGGCAGATGTCGGTCAGTACGGTGATTTCCTCCCACACCTCCGGGTCCGGCTTCGTATTCATGTCCTCACAGAGCTCTGCTTGGTACGCCGAGAGCATGGAGGAGACATTCAAAGCTCGGACCGAGATGGCGGAAGCCTTGTACGCCCTCTTGTTCAGCTCCGACTGGAAGCGGTACGCCTTTGCAGGGAGAGTGGGAGGCCTGGAGGAAGTTGCCGAGAGCCGTGGGTGCAGGTGGGCTGCAACCAGCGGTTCCATCGGCGGCATGCGAAGCATGCCAGCCTTCTCCATCCCCTCGAAGTCCAGCGAGGAGGCTCCTTGGACAGGAGACCTGGAGCTGAAAGGGTGTTTGTCCCAGGAGGACCTCACTTCTTGGAGAAGCTCCGGGAAGGCGGGAAGGAGGGACTTTGCCGCCCTTGTGGCCTGAGGCAGCTTCTTTCCCTCGTAGCGGGATCTGACAGCCTCAGTGACCCCGGTGGGCCAAGGGATGTTGAGCCTGGTCGCAGCGCGTCGGCAGACTGACTGCATGTCCAGGTGGGCGGCCGGAGAAGCCGCTCCATCCCTGGGAGAGGACGGAAAGCTAGGCATGGAGGCCTGAGCGATGGGGAGAAAAACGTCGTCATCCTCGTCCTCCTCTGAAATGAGGAGTTCCGAGGTGTCCTCATCGTCTCCGTAGTCCAACTCCAACACGTCCTCGACGGGGTGGCTCGGACCGGCCAGTTCGAGATGTGAGCCCCAGCTGAGTTCGGCATACGATTCCGGCTCCGGGAGGGCATGTTCGCTGGCGTCCCCAGGCGGTGGCCCAGGGGCCGGCAGGCAAGGGTCCTTCCCCGACAGGCTAGCTTGGCGCGCTAGCCGCCGGCCCGAGGCAGCTCGAGCAGACCTTGTGCGGGTCTTTGCTCGAGATTTTGTTCCCACAGGTACAGAGGCGAGCTCCTGCGCCGTCGACTCCTCTGGTGGGAGAAGCGGCTTCCATGTGGGCTAACTGGTGTGTTAGCAAGAGAACGAACAGGTGCACTGGAGTGTGAAGCTGCTCGTTATGCCCCGAGCCTATGGTGAAGGTCAGGACAGAAGGACAGTAAGTTAACGTTCGGCGACGGAGAGAATATTAGCTGGCTCCGTCTGTGAACAGTTGAGCTAACTTACCTCAGAGATAAGCAACCACAGAAGCGAGAAGAGGTGATTAAATAGTGCGTGCGTTGGGACGCTTGCTACTTATAGTAGCAGGGGACACGTACGTCACGGTCACTGGCCAATCAGGATTGGCGTATTGAGATAAGTGCTTCTGAGGAATCCGCGGAGGGGCGTATCCCATAGTGAGACATCGAAACGAATGTTAAGAAAGAGAACACGAAACGGACGACATTAGACGCTGCCCACTCCAACTAAACAACACATTTTGTGTGAATGCTCTAACAAGACTGTTACCGCGCTCAAACAACACTACACACCACATCGGCGCTGTCATTTTCACACTCGTTTATGTCACAGGATTGATCAGCAGCACAGTTCTCTTTCCTGCTGCCTCCTCCGTGCAGGTGATTTCCCCCCGGCTCCTCGTCCCTTGCTGCCGTGCATAAAAAGCACACAAGTCGTGATGCCATAACTTGTTTGTTTCTGGACAAATAGGGCAGACATACAATTTGTTTATTCTGTCATGAGACTTTGTCTGACACAATGTGGGTGGTTTATTTACTAGAATTGGCCATTAATCATTGCCTTTGGCATATTTTGGCAGCTGGACACCTATAAAAATGTATGTTTACTGTCCTTTCATTTACTTGTGCAGCCTGCAGCTCTACATGTGTTAACCATGCTGATGAATTAAATTTATCTACTATTTAGCTCTGTTTTTGGCAACTAACAGATAAACACAACAGTGGTCAACGGGGAGGTGCCGGCTTCTTGTCCTGCAGCCTGGCACTGAGGGGCAGAGGTGTGGGCGCCTGATGCCATGTTTCATGGAGTCTATATACGTTCAGCAGGTCAGGGGTGGTTCTAGGGGGAGTCCAGGGTGGACCAGTGCCACACTGAAACACTTGGACCCTCCCCCCGCGGAGGGCAGAGCTTAAGCATTACAAAAGCCACTTTTAGAAGACACACTGAGCCACCAAATCAGCGTGACAGTGCTCCCACAGTGTGTCTTATGAAAGCGTCGCGGCGGAATAGCGATGCGGGAATTTTGCCGCCATGCTTGGTAGTATTTCCGCAATGCTGGACTTGTGAGTCAAGATTACGCAGTGGCGCAACAGAGGGAGGAGTGACGATCATGTGTGGAATGTCGGCGAGCTTCGGACGGCAGTTATATTGAAAATGAAAGTAAACAAGCACACGTTTTGCTTTTGTACACAGAATAAGCTGAGACAGCAAACTGGAGTGATACAAAGCTTCACGAGCTTGTCTCCATTAGAGCTGAAGCTTCTTCAGTTAATATCCAATTACTGTAAATGTCTGGTCCCATTACGGAAGCTTTTTACAGCTGACATCAAATATGTATCAAGTAAACAATTTTCTCTTTCAGGTACGTTTCCTGTGCCCTTGGGTGCCCCCATGAAGGACGTATTGAACCTTCAAAGGTTGCTGAGGTGAAACTGGATTTGAATGACGCGTTAAGTGGGGATGTCTGATATTATTGGCCGATGTTGGACGTAACATGTAATATAGGAAAATATCGATATCGGTTTAACTCCTTAGTGACCCAACTTTTACGTACCATACACATATTACCCATCAAACTCTTTGGCGTCCTCTCCTTTCTCTCAAAATGCTAAAGTATGACAGATCCCAGGTTTAGTTTTTGAGATATTTTAGTTTCATGTGGCACAACTTGTGAATAATTTGTCCTGTAGTGAGGATCTGCTGTTCTTAGAGCACCCAGGGCTTGCTTTTCTAAACTGAAGATCTTTATGAATGTTTTATCACCGTAACTACAATATACAGAAACAGAACAAATACTTTACTGATTATTACAGACTAATTAGCATGTAAATCTAGCTTAGCATTTGTACACCCACGCTAGGGATGTAAGAAAATATCGATCTGGCAGTATATCGTGATATATTTTCCAGCTATATTATAACAATATTCAAAGGCAGTGTATCGAAAATATTGATATCACTTTGATGCCGCATTGGGATTTGGAGTCGGAAAACCCCCTTTTTCGTACAACGGTGACGAAAAAGGGCGCTTTCAGCGCCGGCGTCTGACGCAGAGGGTTACTGAACAAGCGTTCATTTCTGATGCATTGGGAGTGAGAATGTGTTGACCATTTTCTGGGTTTTTTTGTCATCTCTATTAGTTTCTTTTTTTATAAATTCTACTTTTTCTTTTGATTAAAGAGAAATTAGCACCACATGTTGAATGATTTTTCTGCAATCACTGTATAAGAAACACTCAAAATTAACTTTTCTTTTAGGTGGCAAAGCGGTTGTATGAAATGGGCTGTTATGAGATATCCTTGGGGGATACGATCGGAGTCGGTACTCCTGGATCCATGTTTAAGATGCTGCAGATGGTGAAGAAGGACGTGCCCATAGATGCTTTAGCAGTTCACTGCCATGACACTTATGGACAAGCACTTCCTAACATCCTTACAGCACTTCAGGTAGGCAGTGTTTGGGTCAGTGATGAAAATGCAACATTATAATGTAAGAAACACAAGATATGTGTCCAAGTTTCAGTTAAATGTTTGATATTTTACCTCACAAGTAAGGTTAACTAATCAGATTTTACAGTGTGGTTCCACACTGACATAGTTACAAGATACAGCAGCCTCATGAATTACCCAAAATCTTCCTATTTGGCAAATGTAAGATGACAAGGCATCATCGTGTTGGACTTGAGAATACATTTTGTGTTAAATTCACAGTCAGAAACACATCATTTTGTCATGAATACAAAATTTCTAGCAGAAAACCACAGAGCGATTATGGATCCAATCCCAGCTTTGTCTAAATCATCATAGTTAGTCATGATGACTTGAAGAAGAGCAGCCAGATGTGGAAGCAGGATAACTTTCAGCTTTATTCCGAAACTGCCAAGACATGTTTTGAGCATCTTATTTTCCTGTTAGGATTCAACTAATAATAAGGTCTTCCCAATCCGTGCTGTCAAACACTTTTTAACTCACTGGTAAAAGTAACTGAAGGACACCCGCGTTTATTTAGTGTTTCTTTTCTGCTGCTATCAGGCAAAAGGAAGGAAAATATATATATTTCTGTTGAATCAGAGACAAATTACTTTGACCATTTAAAGCTGTTTGAAGCAAGAACTGATGCTTTGTTTTATCCAAAAAATTGCTAAATGTGTTTTATTCAATTACCATTCAGCTTTAGAAAAAATTGTTTTGAAAAGAGTTTTTTCTAATCATACTCTTCAAAGACTCTGAAAACTGGGAGCTTTAATCCAGCCATCCACCCATTCATACATACATACATGCTGACATCCTCCATCTGTCTGGGCGTCCATATATCTCCAGAAGAGAGAGACCCAGACATCCTGAAAAACACTTTCCAGCTCCTCCTGGAGCATCTCGAGCTCCCATGCTGTGGAGGATTTTCTTCAGTGAGTTTTTTTGGTTTTGCCAGTGGGGTGTGCTCAAAAGAACCTCCAGAGGAAGATAATCAGATCTAGTCGGATGTCTGAACCACCTCAACTGACACATTTGATGCAAACGAGCAGCGGCTCTTTTAATAGCTTCTCTTGGATGACGAAGCTTTTCACCTGATCTCTGCTGAGCCCAAACAGCCCGAGGGAGCTCATTTCAGTCACTTGTTCCTTCAATCGCTCTTCAAATGTGTTTGGAAAGTAAACAGAGAGCCTGGCCTTTCAGATCAGTGCTTTCCTTATCACCAAAGGCTGGATCAACATCGTCATTGCTGAAGACGAAGGCCTGATCCAACTATCCATCCCTTATGAACTAAACACCAATAAACCCTCACTTCTTCATTGGAGATAGAGACTCGACCTCCAACCCAGAGAGAGCATTTATTAAACATGATCTAAGCCACCTCCAAAATGGAGCAGACTCCCAACACTAAAAACAGACTATCTTAATTCAACTGAGAAATTCCCAGGACCCTTCCTAGAGAACAATGGCAGTGATATGCTGTTTCCACATTTTCTGAGCCACTTTTTCCTGCAGCAAGTGTACGCCTGACATACAGCAAGCCAAACAGCAAAGGTAACTCAGATATGGCTGTATCAGTTCCCTGCAGCACATTGTCACTCCACATGAGGAAGCTCATTGGGGGCTGGGTGGGTCAGCAGATGTGAGGGGGTCAGCACAAAGGCTCACCTATTCAGTATCTGTTGGACAAAGCACCTGAGAGCGAGGTGGATAGAAGGGCCCAGGGGGGCTCCTAACTCGTCTGTCGCTTGGCTGTTGAACTCTCCGACAATGCTGCGCTTAAAAGCCAGTGGAAAATGATCCTTTCATTTGCTCGATGCCGAGCATGTGATGAATGGCACTGCGGCCTCAATCCTGGCTTAGAACTATTTCAAACGCCATAATTTTTTATGTGCTGAGAAGTGCAAAAGCTGTTTCAGAAACAAGTTTAACAATGTGATCATTCAGGGTCGCAGATGTTTTCAAAGGTAGCTCCAATTTTGGGACCTTGGTGTGAAAAGGCAGCAAGACGGTGAAATTCTTTAGTGGATAATTTTCAGAATGATTCATCACAGCTGCCCCATAACTGGAGAATATAATAGAAGCCGGGAATATTTAGCTTACCATAAATTCACCCATAAACAAGAAGGAAATGAAAGATGTTATCATAGTTTTTCATTACCGTGGGCCAGAAGTCGGCACCTCCAACTGGGAGAGAAATGAATTCCCTTCAGTGCTGTCAGCCCTGAGTCACCTCTTTTGTTCCTGATAAAGACATTCCTCAGTCTTTGTAACTTTTTTTTTCTGGAGGTCTGGGGGCGCTTTGTCAGAAACCTACTTGGGTAGTCACATAATGACAATGTATGTACTTAGATTTCACAGGCTTGGCTTAGAAAATTATTTATTCTCTGTTGCAATCTTGCTGCGTTGTTACCACCTGCTTCTGATGCTGGTATAGTGATATGTTTGGATCCTTTGGAACAGCAAGAGTTTGTCTAAAAGATTCTCCTTTGTGCTCTGAGAGATAATGATCAGCAAAGATGCTCTGAGCAGAATAATAATAAGAACTTGATTTTATGTCTTATTTTACACAACTTAGTGATGTACTGTCAGTGTTTTATTTTTAACAAAGCATTTTTGCATTATCATAAGATTGAGCATGAGAACATCCTAATGGATTTTTCAGAATAAAAGCCCTATAATGAGAATAAAAAGAAAGAACCAAATACAAATGAGTTACTTTTTTTAACAAGGTCTATTTAACTTCGTAAATATGTTTTGAATGAATGAATGAATGAATGAATGAATGAATGAATGAATGAATGAATGCATGCTTGGGTAGGTAGGTAGGTAGGAAGATGACAGATAGATAGATGATAGATGACAGACAGACAGACAGACAGACAGACAGACAGACAGACAGACAGACAGACAGACAGACAGACAGACAGACAGATAGATAGATAGATAGATAGATAGATAGATAGATAGATAGATAGATAGATATTTAATACTGTGAGCATTTTCATGTACACTGTAAAAATTAAATGTATTTTAACATAACAACATATAACAATATATGTTACTCTTTGCGTTTAAGCTACTAGGTTTAAGAAAAAACTGTTGACATAATTTAATTAAGTACATTTAACATTTAACTTGCTAGAATGTAGGAATTTGAATAGGTAACATAATAAATTATGTTTAAATTTAATTCTGTTATTTAACTTTTATATGATGAGATGCATTACAATTAAAAACAAATTAAATAACTGTAAAATATTTGTTGTTTTCTGCATAAAAAATCATTACCAACAATGCATTTAATCCAGCAATGTCTTAATAGGAAAACAAAAACACACTCTAAGAAAAACAATGTTGAATTTACTTAACCAAGTTGAGTCAGTTGGTTCCACTGAGTAATTTACAATGTTGTTATGTTTAAAGTAAATGTTACTCTTTACATTTTAGCAAGTAAGTTTAGAGGAACCATGACATGACTTGGGTAAGTTAACTCAACATTTCATTTCTTAGAGTGTGGAAATCATGCAAACATGTAGCTTTCTTCATGCAATAGAAAAAATAATTCTTCCTGTCAATAATAATAATAACAATAATAATAATAATAATTCCAGAATCATTTTTTTCAGCTTCATACCTGGATTGATACCCAAAAGAAAAAATGTTAGGGTTATGAGATGCCTCATGAATTTTAATGGATTCCTGGCAGGAAGTGATATATTCGTCGGTAGTGGACCTCTGTCAGTTTCTTTTAGCCTCCTGGTTTATGGAGTACTGCTGCTTCTGAATACACATTCTCTTCTCTGACGCATTTTACCACCAATTTGGGAGCGTGTCCACCTCCAGCCGTGTCCGCTCAGAGTTTAAAATGTCAACAAGCTTATCCCGAATCATTTAAGTTTGAAAATGCCCCTTGTCTCTACCCTGGGATGGATTGTTTTTACATGGCCACAGCTCAATTAATAGGATTTTTCTTCACACTGAGCACACATCTGGTTTCTGGGCAGAGTAAACCGAACTGAGCATCGGAAAGCTCAAGCGCTGACCACCAATTCCTGTGTGATTATTGTCCAGAGATACTGGACACACTGAAGACTTACAGCGGTGGTGGCTTTAAGCGAAAGGATTGGCATGGTAAATTATAACTCTGTGTTTGCACTACGAAAAAATTCTGCAGAGTCAAATATCCTCCTCTGGCTCTCACCAAGGTCTGGAAATCTTGTGCCTTACACACACACACACACACACACACACACACACACACACACACACACACACACACACACACACACACACACACACGTACACCTCCGCCTCTACCTTTGCCAACACAAACAGCAATTACAGCTGGCTCATACAACCCCTGAAAGAGGCAGGTTCTTGTCTGGAGAAAGAAAAAGGCGACCAATTAGCAGCATTGTTCCGAAATAGCTGTCGATTTTTCTTTTTAATTTAGCTTGGCTGGTCCCGCTCCACGGGGTGGACGTCCCTCATGACCCGATGCCACTGAGAAGAACACTGTTCAATTTTGTCTCGCCGTAGGAACGTCTGACATCTGGCTCTGACATGGAAGCAGGAAAACAACTTTCATATTCTCATGACAGCCCCAGCGACATGTGGGAAACATCCAGTAATGACTTAAAACTGGAGGTTCTGGCCACAGAAATTTTCTCATGTGTGGAAACTAAACAATATGCTTGCGGTTGCTTCATACACTTAAAAGACAAACACTGAAGCTAGGTCTATGGTAAATAAAATGCCTTGCTTCAAAATTCAGCGACAGAAACCTTCATTTAAAACAACAAATTAAATGAAAAAATGAAAAAATACTGGAAGCACATGCAGAATTTGGTCCAAATAAAGAAAAGTTGAACCTTAACTGCAAACAATCAGCGTTTGATTCATGATCTTGATTGATCGCGGCCATTGAGCCCAACTTACCACAAAGAAAGCAAAGCTGAAATGGCACATTACTACATTTTTGTGCACAATTAGATAATAGGTGCAGTTTTAGGTGAAATGAATGACTACAGTAACTTTTTTGTAGCAGGAGCTAATTTGTGAAATATGTTTATGAGGAAAAGAAATATCCTCCCCACGGTTACGGGCAGAGTAGTCCTGTACAAACACCAGCAACCAGATGGATCAGAAACATGTGAAACGCTCTTGTTTCCACATTTCTACTACTCTGCTCTCAGGAACAGGGTCATAATTATGCGGTGCTGATGGTGGGTAACGCTCACAGAGAGGATGACTAAGCCAAATTCTGGGACTTTCTATGCCCACTCATCTTCGCTTACGGCTCTCCAAAACAGCTGTAAAACATGACTGTGGGTCTGGCAAGGTGCGACTGGTAGAATGATCCAGAACAAGGATCCTTGTTCTTGGGGTCTGCTCGGAGGTGAATGTCCCTGTTGTTTGCCTCGCAGATGGGAGTCTCCGTGGTGGATTCTGCAGTGGCAGGCCTCGGTGGGTGCCCCTATGCTCCGGGTTCAACTGGCAACGTTTCAACAGAGGATGTTCTCTACATGCTTCATGGCATGGGCATTCAAACAGTAAGCATTCCTCACAGACCTACAGTAATTGATGTGTCCACAGTACCAACATAACCAAAACCCTTCAAATCCTTTAGAGCTTGTTTACATAAACACATTGCTCTGCAAACATGCTGTAATGCTAATGTTTACTTTATGATATCTGTGGCTTTACACAAGTCCTACAAGGAGACCACGGCTGCTGCTGCTGCTGCTGCACACAAGATCCCACCAACAATTTAACAATTCCATCCCCTGCTGGTGGAAAGTGATCACTGCAGGTGGATGTTTTCACATGCTGCACATCTGCTTTTAAATTTGGGAAGGTTTATTTGTCTTGCTGTGGTTATTGAAAGGTCAGAGGCAACTTGCAGATCTACTCTAATATTGCATTGCTTTGTCTTTTCACAGAATGTGGACCTTAATAAAGTCATCGAAGCTGGTGATTTCATCTGCAACGCTTTGGGCCGCAGGACAAATTCTAAGGTTGGCCAGGCTAAAAGCGGAACACTGTGATAGGAAATTATACAGAAAATTATTTAGATGTTCAATTTTTTTTAGTTTTTCTTTGTATATGTTGCTACATTTGATTAACGTTATTTCTTGTATTTGATCCACATCGTCTAAATCAGCGGTTCCTGTTTCTTTTAGCTTCAGATCCACAAACTAACAATTAGAAGGGATACTAGGCAACTTTTTCACATTTTTAAATAATTTTCTTGAACCAGTATATGCTAAAGGGGCCTTTTACAGCAGTGGTTCCCAATCTTTTTTTTTTTTCAGATGACCCACATTTTGAAAAAGACAAAACATTGTGACCCCATTAAAAAAAATTGTTTTATTCATTGTACATGCAACTGTTCTTTAAACAAAATCCTATGCATTTTACTATCCTTTCTTCTTTTTTTAACTTAAAAATGTCTCAAATTTGAACATGAAAATTAAAAAAACGTATTGGAAACATTTTTAATGTATTTAGAAACAATCTGAAAAACAAAACATTTTCAGAATAAGGATTATGTTTTTATTTTTGGACATTAAACTGAGTATTGCACAAAACTTTTAGATAAAACATTCATAACATGCAAATATCCAAAAATTGTTTTAAGCATAGAAAATATTTTTCACATATGCTTAGTGATGAAAGTCATCAATGTGGCTTTTACCAAAATGTTTTTATTTTTTTTCCTTGCTAATGTGATGGATGGGCTTGCTTGTTTTCCAGTATTGCATTCCAGTCTAGTTTACAAGAGGATAATGCAACTCTCATATCTGGTGCAGCATTCAGTCTACTTCTGAATTTTGTCTTTATTTTTGTTAGAACTGAGAACCCTACTTCACATTTGTATGTTGTTGTGAAGGGAATGAGACGCTGAAATCTGGCCTTACTTAAGGCAGGATGTTCAGATGAGATGCTTATCCAAAATGAGGACAACTGCATGCATTCATGTTGTTTCTTTAGCAAAGGATCACTGCTCAGTTGTAACATCTCCGTTTCTTCTCCAGGAGTCGATCCTAACTCAAGCAGAGATTCTGGACGTTCATAAGAGAAGGGATTTTGAATCCACCTTTTGCCATTCAACTTATCAAATCTCTCTTTTGGAAAATAGCGGTCAAAACTATTCTAAAGATGCACAGTCGGAAACATCTGTGCTGATGTTTTACTTGTGTGTCAGTGACATCGTTTTCTTCTATGTGTTTTAACACATTTGGAAACATGTAGTGACATGGTTTTGGTCCTTTGAGGCGAGCAAGCCGCAATTTTAGAGACTTCTGAAAAGTGAGAACATGTTTACAGTTTACAGTTGTGGAAAACGTCATCATGCTCTCCCTGCAGTTTCAAATTCAGCTCAGTCAGCAACAGAGGTGGAAAGTAACGAATTACATTTACTCACGTTACTGTAATTGAGTAGTTTTTTTGTAAATTTATACTTTTTAAGTCGTTTTTAAAATCTGTACTTTTACTTTTACTTGAGTAAGTTTTTAAAAAAGAATTGTAATTCGCTACATTTTAAATCATATCCGTTACTGAGTAAAAATAAATTATAGGCTTAATAAATTAAAAATATTACGTGTAGCAGCGTTGGAATGGAAAGAGACACCTGCATGAGCGCCGCGTCTAAACCGTGGGGGTGGGGGGTGGGGGGGGTACACTTTAGCTCAAAGACATCGGTTCAGTTCCTCAACTCGCTGTTCACCTCCTCTCTCCCTCCTCTCCTGTGGGTTGGAACCCGCACCTTCACGCACCGGTGTGACGTCAACAGAATTCTGCTCGGTTCGGTAGCCGGACTCGGTTCCGTGTTTGAATTGTGTTTCTCTACCGCTCCGCATGGAAGCGGCAAAATAAAGTTTAGCGCTCATAACAAGTGGATTCTCAGCGCTTTGCTCATAAAACAGAAGACCTGCAGGCCTCTGTGAGATAAAACATCCTGATACTGTTCAGGTGTAAACATTGTGCTCCATCCCTGTGTTTGAACTCAGAAGATGCTTCCTGATGCCACAGATTTGTGATGATTTAGCTTGTTTCTTTATTTTACTCCAGAATAAGAGATTAAATTATTACTAAAGCAGTTCAATGTAGTTAAATTAGTCATTAAAGATTCTAACATGTTGCAGTGTGTGTGTGTGTGTGTGTGTGTGTGTGTGTGTGTGTGTGTGTGTGTGTGTGTGTGTGTGTGTTACACACATAGGACTGCATGAGACAGCATGGTTTCATCAAATCCATGCATCCTATATCTTGGCTGAAGTAATGGCTCAGGAAAATAACATATTTCATAAATAATGACATCTCACTAGAGTCTACGATAATGTTTTATCTTATCTTTGGTCTGGGAGGTGTAACATATCATGATGCAAGCCTTTTAAAACACGTTAAAGTTTTACAAGAGGAGATAAATGCATAAATTTAAAGTTCATGTTTGGAGTCCAACCTTCACAGTTTGAAGGCTCACGCTGGTGAGGAGACACCATTACCAGTTCTAGTAACACCTGGGCTCCCAAGGCCTATTCTGGCAGGATGGACGTTACGGGACCCTTAAGGATTCCAGTTGGATGATTGGAGGATTATTTAGGAGGATTGGAATGAACAAACTGGTTTCAGTGGTGAAGGGTTAAATGAGTGAGTGAACCCACTACCAAGGATGAACTCTGCTAACTTTAAAAATCAGAGAGGAGCTCTAGGATGGACATGGATAAAGGAACTGTAATGTAGAGGTAAAGTAGGGCACGGCCAACGTTAGCAGCTGTCATACGGTCCATCTGAAATGTTTGACTGCATTAGGCTTGTTATGTGACAGAGCACAGTCTCATGTTAGAGTTTTGTCATGAGATATTGAGACACCTCACATACTGATGGCATCTTAAAAAATTATTTTTTCTCAAAATAAAGAATAATTTTAACCACAATTGAAACTTACCATCCTAGAAAAACCTCGTCCAATCAATGCGGGCGTCCTGTTCTCACTGATTGGATAGAAATCCCTCCTTCAAGCTGAGCGTGTGTGTATGTGTGTGCGTGCACACACACGAGCGAACTGTGAACTGGCGTTGTGATTTAGCACTACTTAGATGTAGCCATCCTTACGCTGACAAAAATGTAACTAAGTTACTTTTACTTTGAGTACATTTTGTTTACGATACTTTTTACTTTTACTTAAGTAAAAATTTAGGCAAGTACTTTTACTTGTAATTGAGTAAAAAATTATCAAAGTATTGGTACTCGTACTTAAGTAGGAAATTTTAGTACTCTTTCCACCTCTGGTCAGCAATGAAAATATATCTGCCAGATATGACAATGTAAAAACCCACTTATCAGTAAACAGATCAGCAAGAGGGGACTTCTTCTCCAGGAACGCATGGATTTCATTTCTCAGTTCATACTCTGGTCAGAACTCGTCCTGCGGAAAGCCAGCGCACCTCTGTATGAAACAGTAGGTGCGTGTGCTCCGCCCCATGTCGCAGCACAGATGATCAAAAAGCCGACAGTTCAGGGAATTGCTCTTAATGAAGTTCACAACACAGATAGATTCATTTAGCTTTTTGTCGAGATCAGCAGGCATTCCTTTGCATGCCAACGCGTGCCGATGAATAAAACAGTGGTTCCACACTATGTCCTCGCCGGCTGCGTCTTAATTTTTTTTTTACAACTCTGCTGTTTTTGCCCATCATGTTTGCAGCTCCGTCAGTTGTTATGCCTTTACAGCGGCTCCAGTCCAGGCCGGACTTTGTAACCACGTAGTCGTTCAACACGCTAAATATCTGCTCACCTGTAGTCCCGGTCGGAATATTCAAACAGCATAACAAGTCCTCTACAATCTCTTTTCCCCAGACATAGGCCTATCTCACATAGACCAATAAAGTTGCACAGTCGGAAACATCTGTGCTTTCATCCGGGTGGATGGAAAAGTCCCCTGCCGGTCTTGAAATAAGCTGCTCCTCAAGGTTGCTTGAAATATCAATAATCCTTCTGGAAACTGTGTTGTCACTCAGTGGAATGCGTTTTAATTTCTCTGCAGCCTTTTCATCAATAACTGCACTATTGCAGCAGGCAAGATGAGTTGTTCTGCAAGATGCAACACATTTTTTCTCGGTGGCCACACGGTAAGAAACCATGTAGGATACAAGCTGAGCTTTATCATTTAATGTGACATTTCTGCAAAGAAGATCAGCAGATGATTAAATCTCCTTTCTTTGAAAGAAGTCCGGTGGTTTATTTACCAAATCAGCGTGGAGCGTTTCCAAATGTCGCTTTAATTAGGCTGGCTTTAAACTGTCATTTGCAAGCTTTTCATGGCATATTACACACATAGGTCGATCTTCTTGATTTGGTTTAGAAAAATTTACAAATCCATACTTTAAGAAAAAATCTTTATTTGGCCTCGACCTGGATTTTTTTTTTTTTTCTGAGCTGCTGGTTCTTCTCCTGGTTCTCCGACTCTGTGTTTCCCGCTCTCCTCATATTGTTGGCTGTTGGCGGATGGAATTTCTGGGCATTCATCTTTGTTTTGGCTTTGTTCACTGTCCTTGATGTCCCGTTTTGATGATGCTTTTTTGAATAGCGTTGCAGTTTTTATTTTGCATTGTTCTTTAGTCTCTGTAGTCTGGCGCTCATGTGATGTAGTTTGGTTTTTGTCCGTGTCTTTCTTTTTCATTAACCAAGCATCCATTTCTCCTTCGTGGCAAGTGGCAGCGAAGTTTCAATATAGACTTGTTCTATGAATACACCACAGTAAACAAGTGACACGCTCCCTCTTGTGGCTGAATGCTGAACTGCATGTATGAGTCTTGGTTAAAAAAAACATAGCGTTGTTCAGAAATTTCTTTGGCGACCCATAAAAAATGTTTTACGACCCCACTGTGGGTCGGGACCCCATCTTTGGGAATGACTGCTTTACAGGGTTAATGAAATATTACTCAGGGCCCCACCGCTCTTTGTGGCCAGAATTCCACATTTGCAACTTCAGGAGCTGACATACCTGGCGCTGCAGTCTGCTTCCAGCACGTTCCCTGCATGTTTTAGATCATGAACACAGTTGATTTGTTCAATTTAGTGATGAATCACTCCTATAGGCACTAAGGAATCCTGGGGAGACATTTCAGCTGTTAGATTAAGATGTTATAAAGACAAATGCACAGTGAGGAGATAGGTTTTGCTTTTGGTTCTACTAAATGGACACTAGAGGGTGCTAAAAGCTAGTTTTAGATGCTTGACCACAGAAATCTGACATTTGAAAACACTAACATTCGTAAAAAGCTAAATGATTTAGGGCATAAAGAAATCTGTTTCAGCTAATGTTCACGTACAGTGGTCCCTCGTTTATCTCGGGGTTTACGTTTTAACAAAAAACCCGCGAAAGGAGACATCTGCGAAATAGCCAGCTTTATTTTAC